GTTTTAGATCCAAATATAATAGTGAAATGTTATTCTTATCTCAAATTATTTTCAAAACCTAACAATTAAACTCAATTACGGGATATCCTTGTCTAGTAAGATATGTCAAGAGATATTTGTTGAGCAGTATAAATACCTAATGCATTTTATCATTTGATGAAACACGTCTGAACTTTTAATGAAACTTTTATTAGTTAGATATTTTCATATTTAATAATTATTTAATTTAATTCTAATATTTAACTTAATTTTTTATAGAGGACACCCCTACGTAGAATTCCTGGATCCGCCACTGGTCCAAATACTTGGGCCGAACATGCGCCCGATCGCTGCGGCGAGGCTCGGCGGGAGGAGGGGACGCAGTCGGCGGTGAGGTAACGTCGGCCGGAGAAGACTGGGCGGACGAACTGGGCTCAGCGGAGGAAATCGTCCGCGGGGCTGCCGTAGGCTGCGTAGGGCTCACGGGAGCAGTGCCTGGGCCGGGAGTTGGGCCATCCGGCGTCGAGTTACCAGGAGGACCAGCCGAGAGACTCGCAGGCTCGGGACTTGGGCCGGGCGCGGAGGTAGGTGGGCCAGCCCGCATTGAACCACCAGGCGGGCTAGGCTGAGGCCCAGCAACTAACTCCTCATCATCAACAGAAAAGGGCCGCTCAAAAACAGATCGAGGAACCCAATGAAACTTGCCCGAGTGATCAGCCTGAAAAGGAAAAACATTTTCATGAAATACCACGTCTCGGCTGGTTATTATGCGACGAGAATCAAGATCGTAGGCCCTATAGCCTTTCTGACTAGCAGCGTATCCCATGAACACGCAAGCGCGCCCTCTTTCTGCAAATTTCCCAAGATGAGCATGAGTGTCCTTGCAGTAGACGAGACAACCAAATACTCGAAGGTGAGTATATGACGGAGACTTTCCAAACACAACCTCATAGGGGGTACGACCCGTAGCACGAGTCGGAAGCCGATTGATGAGGTAGGCCGCGGTCAGCACACAGTCACCCCAAAACCGGATTGGTAGAGAAGCCTGAAATCTGAGAGCACGTGCTGTCTCGAGTATGTGTCGGTGCTTGCGCTCAACTACCCCATTCTGTTGCGGTGTATCTGTGCAGGAAGTCTGTAACAAAATACCTTCCTTCTCATAGAAGGCCTGCAAGACGGTCGTGGAGAATTCAGGACCGTTATCAGCTTGAATCTTTTTAACCTGTTTACCAAACTGAGTACGCACAAGACTGCAGAAAAACTGAAGTGCGGACAATTGTGATTTGAGGCATGACCATAAATCAATGATCTACCCAAGCAAAGTGCATAGGCAAATCCAATAAGCTAAGTAAACAATTAAGTCTTTCAAATCCATAATGTCAAGCAATAAATAATAAATCTGAATTTTTCTAAAATCCATATCTTCGTAAATTTCTCATTTTTCAAATCAAGCGAAACCCGAATTTCTCTACCTAACTCGTATTTAGCGCTTCGATCTGACCCGTTTACCCGACCTGTTTTACTTGTTTTGGGACCGGTAGGGAAGGGACGGGACGGGACGTGCATGGGTACTCTCCTCGACCTGCCCTGCCCTTATCCTCCCCATTTTCGACCCATTTTTGCATAAATTACATGTAATTTTATTCAAATTATTTATGATTTTATATTTATTATCTCATATTTTAGCTATAATGAAATTTTAAATAGGTGGGAATCTCAATTTATCAAATAATTAAATTACACTTATCATATTATAGTTTGTTGTTTAGTTTTTTAATGAAAAAAATAATATTTCTACCATTTTTCTTTTAAATTACATATCCATATGGGTTGATCTATCATTGATCCACAACTTGTGATAAATTATTCAATTTGTACCCGACCTGCCACGAAATGAGTATGAGTATCGAAATACCCACTCTGAACCCGCTATTGCCATTGCTAATTGATAGTGTTATAACTTATAAGACAACATACATGATGTCCTAATAATAATAATAATAATAATAATAATAATAATAATAATGATAATAATGATAATAATAACAAACAACTTAAGGCAACGAAGCGACCTTTTGTCGTTATAAGTTTTAACCCCTTTAGAATCAGCCGGAATCTTACTTCTGCCGACTTAATCGGCACCAAAGTTAAACCTCGTCACTTGCGCGTTAAAATTGGTAGTGGCCACTGGCCACTGCCGATTTGGCTGGCAATTCCCATCCCAAAGGCCAAAGCTATAGCTCCCAATAAATCTTTTTTTGTTTTTTTAGGAAAACCCAATAAATCTTTTCAACTGCAAGCAAGTGGGTTTCTTTCCAGTTTCCACCACAAACCATCAAAGGACAGCAAATCTTGTTAATTTTTTGGCAATTACATTATTGGTCACCAAACTTTTTGGATACTTTGAAAACTGGACATTACTCATTATACTTTGTTTTATAATTAGCAATGCTACTAAGGGATCAAGTCTAAAAAGGTGCTACACGACTAAACGGACCACAATCACAACTATCCACTTACATGTAGGTATGGCAATAGCTCTATTTGTTGAGTAATTTTGTTAACACGACAATAATTCTAGTTATTGGAAGAGATTCATAATGGATCTTATACCACATACTAACACATTACTTCAAATAAAAGCCAATAAATCTCTAGAGGACTTTCGTTTGCATAGGTCATGGATAGGAGAATTACATGTGCTTCATAAATGGGAATCATCGAAATTCGAACATAATACTTCTTGGCTATGTAAAGCTCTGATGCTATGTAAGAAACCAGTTGATCCCAATAACTCGATTTGTTGCGAGAGGCTCAAAATCGATAAATATTTCTTTCCACGTAAAACGAAAACTACTCCAAATCAATTCGTCAAACAAATTGTCAAAAAAGAGTCATTCGCACTTAAAACCCTACATCAATGTGGATACAACCAAAACTACTCCAAATCGATAAAGACCCCCACAAACTCTTGAAAACGAGTCATTCACGCTTGCAACCCTAACCGTGTGACTACAACCGAAACTACTACAGTTTGATGAATACCCGACAAACTCTTGAAAACGAGTCATTCACGCTTGCAAGTAGGGGTGGAAATCGGTACAGTATCGGTATCCCAATACCAAATACCGAAATCTCGAATACCGAATTATACCCAAAAGTCAATCCCAATCCCTAAATAATTTTGGTATCCCAATCTCAATCCCTAAATATTCCGATATCTCAATCAGTACTTCGGTATCCCAATCGGTATGATCGAATACGAAATAAATTCTATTTGAAATAAATAATTAAATATATAAATTAGATGTGATTGTTTAATTTAGGGCAAAGGGACTAAGCAAAGAGTCTTGACTCTTAAGTTTGCCTAGAACTAGGATATGGATAAGGAGAATGAAGGAGATGTGACATCTCAAGTTCTTGTTATTGGTAATCTTTAATTTGACGAATTGAAGGTTGAGAGATGACTAATACTAGTGTTTGCTTTTAGGTGTTATGAAAATAACAAGTTATTAGGTGAGAGTGACTTAAATTGGAAAGTCAAAATTGAGTTGGATGAGGACTTTTGAGTTGTGAAACAAAGATGAAATGATCTATGTATCATTAAATGACACTCTCGGTGGTTGAGGGTCGTGTAGTAGTGAATGAGAGAGTCTAGTTGAGAGAATAAAATACACACTGGCTTATATTTCGGTATTGATCGGTATTCTCGGTATATACCGATCTCAATCCCGTAATCCCTAATACTGAATTACAATTGAAATTCAATTTCAATCTCAAGAAATAATACATGTATTCGGTAATATCAAATATAAACAAATTTGATACGGTATTCGCTATATCCCAAATACCAGTACTAAACTTTCAATCCTATTTGCAAGGTAGGGCTAAAACCAAAATTGGCCCCCACTGCTTTCCAAACGACCCGGCAAAACCAACTGACTGAGCTGAGCAATCAATCAATCGATTAACCCAGCCACACAACACAAAGTCACAAACCCCATCTTAATCTACTCAAAAACATTAATGAACGGTGACATCATCGCATCGCTTGACTCTTTAAAAACAAACGTCACTGCTGACTAATTCTTCCTTCTCTCTATATATAAATTTTTTGGAGTCGTCGAAGGTTCCCCCAAGAAATTCCATCCGTACGGTACTTTAAAAAATCTGCAATTAGTTTTGGTGCATACTTCGACCCAGTTGACTCCATCAGCGCAATTATAGGGATGGCAATGGATCGGATCGGAGACGGATAGAGCATATCCGTTACCCCTACTCAAAGTAATTCGGGTTTTACTCATACCCATACTCACATAAGAAACGGGTAGAAAATCAAAACCATGCCCATATCCGATCGGGTTTCAGGTATCCACGGTTATCCATGATTAATAGTTTCTCCTTATATCCCCAACCAATATGTTAATGTTTACATGTATTCTCGCATCACGTAAGACAAAAATTACGACAATAATTCACTAGAATGTAGAAAATTCATTAAAACAACACAATTTCATGAAAAAAAATATATATTTATATGCTAAATATAAAATATGTTGGAGAAAAATGATGATTTTTCTAGAAAAAATGCATATGCATGTGCATATCGGGCGGGGTTCAGGTTGGATAGTGAGAAAACCATGTCCACCCATTATCCGCAATATTCGGGTTCGAGTTTTACCCGTACCCGCTAAAAATCGTTCGGGTTCGGATTTTACCCTACCCAACAAAATCGGATTCGGATGGATATCCACGATTATGGATATTTTTGCCATCTCTCTTCTTCTCAGTTATTTCTTAGTCGAGTCGGCTCTCTCCTATATCTAAAAATCACAGAGAGACGGATTAATAATAAGATCGTAGTCCTACCAAAAAAAAAAAAAAAAAAGATCGTAGCGACACAAAATGTAACTCGTAAGCAATATGGATCCGAAGCCCGCAGGAGGAGCCCAAGTAAGGCCCAAGAGGAAGAACAAGAAGAAGACGCCACAGATCTGCAAAGAAATCATCTGCAGCTTCGGTTGTGTTCCTGAATATTGTGCTGCTGAGCTTAAAATCCAGCTAGTCTTGTGCAAATACGGTTTTCGAACAAGATCGCTACAACAATACAACAACTCCCAATTTACGACGACATGCAGTACTTGCTTCGATTGTATGCTAACCCCGTTCGATCCTTGCAAAGAGGCACAATGCGAATTCGAGATTGCATCATATCTTCACAAAAGTTTTACATTTGCATGTTAACACCCTACCGATCTATAATAAATAAAATGTTCACAACTACATGTGTTTAGGATAACTAACCATTTTCAAATCTGATTACCAGTAATAGGTTTGCTTAGAAGTTAGAACATATATATTATTGGTATTCTATACTAAAGAATTAAAGTCGTTTTTCTTTCATGTTTACAAAGAAATGCCACGTGGGAACTCTCTCAAGACAAATCTTGCCATCTGCAGTATGTTAAAAGTCTTCCAGAATTCATCCAATTTCCCCCCTCCCAATGATTGCCATTTTTGAAGAGATTTCAATCTCTCTTATGTAGAAGTTACTGTCAGTGGTCTTGTAGTGAATTTGATGTTGGAAGGTTCTGCCATTGGAAGCCTAAACCTAACCCTAAGCTTCCTAAATTCAAACAAGAAAAGGAAACAAGGAAAAGGAGTAGTTAGTAATCTAGTTATGTTGAAAGAATTCATCAATGCCATCCTTCAAATTACTCAAAACGAATTACAAATCCTCAACATATAAAAGCAATCAACGAACAACGAATCGAACCCTGAAGCCAACAATCAATTATCGAGGGCCAGGAAGAGCTACTACATTAACCACAACCACAACATTGCATCCAAGGCAACCAGAAATTCGCCACAACGATTATACAGAAGCACAGGACACAAAACGTCATTTCCACATTAGGGTTTGAGAATTCCGTGGTCTAAGAGAAACCTAACGTGTGTTAGTTAGTAGGGCGGGTCTAATTACCTGGATTCAACACCGTGAGTCTCCGAGCCTCTAAGGAACGACCTTCGCCACCACATCTGAAACGCTTTCCCGAGATTTATACAATCGTTCCCGTGCTTCGAGAAGTAACTAAACCACTCCATGAACAGCTCGTGCTGCATCGCCAGGGGAAGTGTGAGCAGCGACTGGCCAATTGCTTCTTCCAACACCTTCAAATCCAACCCCTTCTTGCACCTCTGAATCCACCCGAAATCCTGCAGCATGGGGCGAAACCACGTCTTGAAAAGCATTGATCTCGACTCAAATTGACAATGCAACCTTCTGGTCCCCATGGCAATGAACAGGGCTGCAGAGACTCTGCTGAGCTCGTATCTAAACAATGGAGAAGCTCCCTCGTGGAGCTTCCTGAGTTCTTCTTGGTTACCCCACATGTCGACGAACTCCTCAGCCATCTGCCATTCGAGCAGGATCTCTAAAAGCCAGTTGACGTTGTCAACCTGCATCGAAATCCTCTCGACCAGAGACCTAGTAGCAGCTGGTGTGCTCTTTTTGGCTAGTCCAGTGTCGGTGTTAGGCTGTGATGATGATGCCTCGTCAAAGAGGCATGCTAGGGAATCGAGGCAGCTCTGGCAGATAACGTACACATCCGCCTTGTTCAGGGCAGGCCGTTGTTTATCGTAGACCGAGCTCTTGGAGACGAGCCCCTTCACCAGAGATTTCAACTCGTTTCTCGCAGATGGATCCGTACAAGTGGTGATCGACCAGAGAAGTTGTTTGGTCAAACTCCATTGTGAGTCTTCACTTGGTACCTGAATATAGAGTCTGTCTAGGATGTCTCGAGTGGCTGCTTCGTCGAACTTGTGGATGGTCATTATGCGCCTGAGTTTTTCTTCTTCCTCTTCTGTCCAAGGCACTGCCCCAAGGTAGTTCAAGCAAGATAAGGCGCCTCGGCTGAATTTAAGATCAGCTGATACCTGATATCAGTTCCAACAACATTCTTAGATCATTTTGACAGACACAAGCTGACTTTCAGATGCTAATTAATTCACTCTACTATTTCTTTCTTTATCAAAACAATTCCCAAGCACCATGAAAATCACAAGCTTTCAACTTCTTAATCAACCACTGAATACCCACCAAGCTATTTCAACCATTTCAACAGAACATAATCGATTCAATCGGGCTTATCTAATACATTTCGAAAGGGGCAAGCAGAACGTTTTCAGGAAAGAAATGTACCTCAAGAATAGAAATGGCGCGATAAGCTCCATGCTTGAAGAGCTTGGAAGTAATGTCGTCTTCAAACATCAGCTCGATCGTATCTCTGAAAACCCCAATGTTCTCCACGTCAGGGACCTCAATTCTGCAAACCTTCATCGATCTACTCCTTCTACCACCATTACCATTACTATTACTACGATTCACCTTGTGAGCCCCCTTCCTGTACTCTGCCACCAGCTCTCCCAAAACCTCCGAGTTCGCCATCAAAACCTCGGAGCTCATCTCCAGCACCAACGTCCCGCCTCTCCTCCCTCTCAAATTCAACCTCACGTCAAACGAATCCCCTCCGCCTCCGCCTCCGCCCGGATCCAACCCGAAATGACCCGAACCCGACCCGAGGCCGCCTCCTGCAACATCGTTCAGTCCTCTGAAGGAAGCGGACCTCTCGGATCTCGCACATTCCACTTCTACCACAGCCGCCGTCGCCGGAAGAGCGGCGGCGGCAGCGCGTTGTTCCTCGGCCGCCGTCCCCGCCGACGCCGCGGATTGCACGAGCTCCCCGGCGGTGGGATCGGAGTCGATTGGGGAGACGCGGCCCGGGGAGAGGATCTTGCGGGGGTCAATCTTGCCGACGAAGCTCAATTTCAAGCCCTGATGCGAGTCGTACGGGAGCGAGTTAGAGCGAGTCGCCTTCTTCGAATTGGACTTCTTCGGATTCGGCTTGCGCTTGGAGTTGGAGGACGGGAGGGCGCGGCAGTAGTCGGGGCTTTTGCAGGGAGGGTGAGTGATGGAGCAGCACCATGAGGTTCGCCGGTTCAGGCGGCGCGACTCGGCCATTTTTTTGTTTTGTTGAGAGAGAGGAGATGACTCGTTCGTCGGCGGGAAGGGGGAACTGAGTCAGGAGGAGGAGCGGCGAGCTGGAGGGAGAAGTGGAGAAGAGGAAAGGCACATGGCTTCGTTGGGTTTTCCGGTAACTTTCTCTTTTTGCTCTCTCTAGTCTCTAGTGGTGGGTTTGTTCCGGAGCGGGTTATATATATATATAGTTCGGAGGCCCGAAGTCCGGCAAAGGGGAAACGGATCCGCGAGAGAGAGAAAAAGAGGTTTCGTGCCTCGGGAACTGTGAGAATTTCTTTTTTCCGAATTCAATGCTTTTATTCTCGTTTCGAGAGATTTTTTTGTTCTTTTTTATTGCTGTTTTAATAGAGGATTTAGCGGATAAGAGTTAATACATATAAACTCTAACAAATCATGTTATTCAAAGTGATGCTTTGAATTTGAGATTATAGTAGGGATGGTTTGTATGATCATTGGATGAACGCAACTTACGAATGAAGAATCAGAGTCATACGTGTTTGATACATGCATACATATTATATAAGAAAATAGATGAGAGGATTTTCATTATTGATGTTTGAAAGGTTTTGTGTTGAATTCTAATAATTTCACGCCTATGTATTTGCGTACACAACGCTCAAGCACACTATATGAGTTTTGTGCCTGATTTGGGTTGGATCGAGTGTAATAGAATGAAGGCGCATGTGATGTACCTTTAGATATGTTTCACGGTTGTTTTGATGAGGAATTGTAATGAACCAATGACATCTAATTGTCTCGTTTGTGACAATTTGATCAAACTGACTCGTTTGTCAACGGAAATTTTTTTGTATGGATCAATTCGGCTTAGAATTTTGAATGGATTCATTTTGAGTCAATTCCAATTGTACGAGATGGATGCAGACAATTCGAATTGATTTGTTATAAACGACTCGTTTTCATAAAATGAAACAACCGACCAAACTGCCTCGTTTCTGAATTGATTCATCCATACGCGACCTCTTAAATTATTGCTACGAACCAACTTGAAAGTGACTAGTCTCCTTTTTAAGTTAAAAGCATTGCTATAATGTACATTATACTCTAAATTTTTCATTTTGGATGTTAACTAGTGGTCTAGGGATAGTACAACCATTCCTTAATTCTTCCATATGGCTTTTACAATTAGCATGGCTTATCCTTTGGTTGTTATTCTTTGACCTTTTAGTCTTTTGGGTGAAGCAAACTAGGGAAGGCGATGAGGAGGGAGAAGGAAGGTTCTTGATTATTTGGATTACCCAGCCTGTTTCGAGTTTCACGAAGTGTTCTTCATTTTCTCGATCGTTTAGTAGTTCTTGTTATCTTGTGCGTTGTTTGTTTTTAGCCAACTAATCCGGCCAATAAAACGAGTGAGGATCTTAGTTTGCTGTAAAAAAAAGAATCGAACTTGGAGATTTTTAGGACGGTCGCCGGGGAGCCAATTGGGCAGAATCGGCCGATATGGTCGCCGGTCGTCGCCGGTCGTCGGCGGAGTGGACTTTTCCGAGTTGCTTGATGACGTGGGGCTCGGCAGTTGGAAAGAAGGACGATAGGCCTGGCTGGCCGTCGGCCCACCATTTTGATTGTGGGGTTTGTTTGGCATCGATAGAGACAGAAGAAAGAGTGTTGGATTTTGATCAAAAAATAATGATAAATCTGTGTCGTTTTTTGGTAAGCTGGGAATCGTGTCATTTTTTTTTTTTTGGGTGGATGACAAATTTCCAAGTGTCACGTCAGACTGTCAGCCAGCCGCACTGTCTGTTTTGTGCTCTAGCAATTAAATAATCTAAAATCCACTCACCCAATCCAACTGTTCTCGTATGTCGACAGAACGAGCAAAACCAATTTTCCGGTCGTAATTAGATTTGCTTGCGATGAGGAGGACCATGTACATACAGTTCAATATGGTGATCAGGGTTGGCAAAGAGAAGAAGGAATGCATGTAAATTGTAAAGGGTCGCACAATGGATTCTCAGGACGAGCACGACTCGAGAGATTATATTCTTGAACTAATTTAAGAGCTTTTAAGAAAGAACTTTTACTTCGAGTTCGATCGGGGTGGAACAAAGACTAGCACCAAGTTAGCACCTTTTGTGCTTGGTGGAAATTGGGATGTTTCTAAAAATTCAACCAACTTGCTTACCAATTCTAGATTTGTCAATGTTCCTTTCGAATTAGCTTGAAAGAATTACCACCTACTACACTTGCAACTAAAAGATACAGTGACACGAAAGTACCAATAGCTCCTTTGTTAGTTTCTTGCTAACTATTACTTAAGTCACTTTCTAGTTTAAGGTGTTACTCTATTACAGCTGCTGCAAGGCTGACTTTCAGCAAAGAAGGGGCCGCCTATCATTTTCTGTCCAAAAACTAGCTTGGTTGCATAAACTAGACAAATCAAGCTCATAGACAACCAAGCTTGATGTGCTTCTAGCTAGTAGCTACTAGCTAGTCTTCATATCTCGCTTTCTATTGAAGAGGCAGCCAGCATGGAAGTAATCAATAGGTCGTTTGAATGATGGAATATGATGAGACAATTTGATTTGACCGTCTCAAAGTAAAGTAATTGAGTCGAATAGCCTTGTTTGGCAGCCCCTAAGTTAAACTAGTAACTACGAGCTAGTGAGCTTCCAAACATAACCAAGCAAACCCGAACCCAGCTAAACTTCCCTTTTTCCTTATTGGCCAAGTCAAGAATATACAGAAACCATTTGGTAAGAGACAGCCCAACAATTAATGTGGTGGGATATAGAAAAACAACAAGAATGGGGTTTCAACCGTTGCAGAGCATATAGAAAGCGCAAAACCGCACCTCCTCTTTTATGCGCACCAAATGGCATTCTACTAAGTGGATGGAGACCTCTTTCGAATCCTGACCTGTCGCTGATATTACTTGTGCTTCTTTCCGCCGGCGAGGATCCGTTGGATCTGGAGACCTCTGCTGAAGGCTTGGTTGAATAGAAGCCTGTTCTGGAACTCGGACACGAACGGGAACCAGGCTAGCACTGCTATGGGGAGGAAGAGTATCAACGCCATCATGTACTCGTATCCTCTCGCCAATGCCTTCACCGATCCCCACATCTTCAACCCCTTCACTATCGGCTTGCACGCTTGCGATATCTGCGTTTAAGACCACCAAACTAACAGCGTTAGATCATTGTTGGAGCTACCAGAGGTGCGCGCACCAGATTGGATGAAATGGTGGAACAGAATCGAAAGAATACAATTCTGGTCCAATTCTATAATCCTATCCTCCTAAGAACTATTCCATCCATTCAGCTTAGCAGGTTCTGGTTACACTTACACTGTCAGCTAAATGGAAATGTCTGCACTAATGTTGCTACTTTGCAAGTAATGAGAGACGCAATATAAAAAAAAAATTCGACCACCTTAAATCGGTTATTGAAAGATAACGATGAAATCCATTCATTTCAAACAGACTTTGCAAATGCAATTCCATGGAACGGTGTCAAAGTTCCATACCTGTAGAATTGCCCAGCCGGTAGGGAGGAAGGCCATCAAGCTCTGGAACACATCTCCGACCGTGAGATGGAGTGTAGTGAAGAGGATGATGAGCGTGACCACGAAACCAATGAAGAGCACGAACTTGAGAAGTCTGAACATTAGCTGGAAGTCAGCGCTGAACTTCTTTCTACCCGTCGACACAATCTGTATGGGTGAAAGTCATCAAGTTATATTCCACTGGGTTTTTTGCAAATTCACAACAAGGTAGAAAACAATAGTCATCTTTACCTTCAGGATTACCATAAGAGCGACAATGACCAGCCATGACAGTCCATAGACCTGCAAAAATATGAATCATTAACCAGTGCTGTAGGGCTGAGCTCACAGCAGAGCAGAAATGAGGGATTTATATAATGATACTCACAGAAAGGCTGTGCTCTCGTCCAGCTGACGTGGCCAGGGTGACTTTCAGCTGGTAAACGATGCCGTACTGATAGATGAAGAAACGTAAAGCGAGGATGACCTCACAAATCTGCCCAGAGATCCCCGTGTGCTGGAGGTGCTCTTGTTCCTCTTCCCACCACGACTCCCAGCTCTTATTTGCAGGCACACCGATCCCTCCCCGGCTGCCAATCCACTTAGTCCAGTCGTCCCAATCGTCAACGACCTTCTGCCACTCGAACCCCGAAGGATTGAACAGGAAAGGAGCGAATAGCCACGACACAACCAGGAACCACATGGAAGCCGTAGGAGCACGTAAGCTACCTGGCCAGACACGGATTTCCCATATATCTGGTAGCATATAAGAAGCAGCATGAGCTCCAGGGCCTTGACGAAGTGTGATCTCGAGTACATACGATAGTTTTCAGCAAACTTCTCGTGGCGGACGACGAAGCCACGACCGGTTGCTCGGTACTTGGCGCCACCATGGAGGACAGTACGGCCATAGTAGTGGGTTCGTGTTCCTAGGGAGAAGGTGAAGAAGACGGAGGCAAGCTGTAGTTGCATGATAATGATGTCGCCTAGCGCTGTTCGGAAGCCTCTCTCGAGGCCCATCTCCATGACCATGGGCAAGGCGGTGAGGAGGCCTAGCTGGACCACGGACTGGGAAGCCATAGCTGATTTCAGTGCATTGTCTCCTCTGTGTTTTGCAAACTTGATTATGGAACCTTCCAATCCACTCAGTGCTAAATACAGTCTCCCATATAAGAAGGCGTAGACTGTGAGGACCACAACCTGCACATGGAGCAAGTAGGAATGTTGAATCGAGGAAACATATTTGCATGTCTTGTTTGGTACATAACAGACTTTGATCATGGTGTGTCTAACGAGGTGGGTTTTTCTAGATGTGCCTAGTGTTCAAGTTGACAGATTCAGTTTCTTGTTCACTTCAAATACAAGGGGATGACTAACCTTCTCTGTTTTCCAGTTAACTGGAACTCAAGCTGTCCAAATAGATTTAAACGGATTTTGGTTTATGTTAACACTGGCAGGATTCACATTAATGGTAAGAGGATTTTTTTGTTATAACAGGAAACTATAATATAACGGAAAACCATAACTAAACTTTACTAGAGAGGGTAGTGAAGGACTTACCATTGAGCTGATGTAGAAACCAATGGTCGTATAATAGAAGGACAACATTCGGAAGAAGTCGAAACGATGGCCTAGTCTATAGATGTCCCTGCTGAGTGTTTGCTCGCCATTACCGCATGCTACTTTGGCTTCAAACAAGGAGATTTGGTTGAGCCCAACATCTCGACCTTTGCCAACTTGAATGTACTCATGGTGGGTGACATTTCCTCTTCGTAGAGTTGAATTGAATCCTGCATGAAAGAATGTGCATTGGTATAGAATTAAGTGGGGAGAAACCTTTCGAAAGATGGGATGGTAGACTCGAGTCTTTACCGGCGAAGATATCCTCACTCAAGTTGATGCCACGAGAAGCCTTACTGACACCCCCACGGGTTATGTGGAAAATTCTGTCAAACACATCTGGATGCCCGTAATGGAATCGTATCCTAAATAACAAAAACTCCATTAGAAAAAACCAACCCAAACAGGGACAAGTTGGTGCATAATTCTCTACTGATATGAACCGAGTTAATTCCATACATAAAATATGGGAAATCAAGGAGAAAAAGTTAAGACTGTGCAGCTATATCAAGAATTTTCTCCAATTCCAGTGGCTTTACATAGTAGCTTTAAAAGGGGGAACCCACACACAGAAAATGCAATAAAGAAAGAAGTACGTACTTCAAGGGCCTAGCAAGAACTCTTTGACCAAGGGTGACGAAACTTGTTTCTTGATTTGACATGAACCAAGCCAAAGAAGAAACACTGAGCATAATCAATGTATAACTTGTTAGATATAGAACCCAGCATTCATAAGGAATAAATTATCGATCAAGAAGACAAACTTTTATCCAACCTTCCAGTAAAAATATGCTCACGGACACCTAAAATTGTAGGTGGTCGCACCCCATGATCCTCATGAAATTCTTCAAGAAGATTGCGCATTTTGAAAGCTTCTTCTAGATAGTTATCCTACAAAGACAGTGCTCGCATCTTTTTATACATTATATGAATTTATATGTAAGGGTTGCAACAAAGAGAACTCCTTTAGATTTATTATACCTGATTCATATCAATGGCTTGCATGGCTTCCCCTCTAGTAAATACTACAGCATGGTTCTGATTTTCAGGCTTTCCTTCACCTAGTTTTGCTGAACCTGGCAGTTTGATACGATAAATTTCCTGTGGGAAGTGACACGAGAACAATTAACATCAATTATCCATCGCGGATGCAGTGGATAAACTTTGACCAGCTTGTGTGGAAAAATCACCTGATCAAGATTATCAACACCTTTGACCAGCACTGAGTAATAAACTTTTTGTGCTTTTCCAGAATCGCGTTCTTCTATTTCATCAATATATGCAACACGGAGAGAAGGATTGCTACAGAAGCAACATCAAGGGATCAAAACCCAGACTAGGATTCTTGAACCAACAGTTGCAAATTAATTAAAGAGAGCAAAGCTTATTGCCAGAGAGAACGTACTTAACCATCAAATTCAGGATGTTTGTTGCATGACGATCTCCTTTTCTCTTCTGATTTCCATAAATCTGGCAGGTGGCTACATACGTGAATTTCATGTCAGCTACTGCCTCCAACTGAGCAGAGAGGGATCGTTGACTTTTCTTGTCTTCCTCAGTTGGGTTTGTTATAGCTTTATAGCCAGCTAATATCTCTGCATACAAGATTCAGATCTTCAAAACATGAAACCAGTTCTTCAACCTCATATCTCAGAAAGGGGAAAAGATGGGGTGGCACCAAAATTAGACTATTGTAAGTTACTAAAGTTCCACTTAGGACAGCATTCACAGGCTGACATTCAGTTAAGCTGTACAGGAAACATAAACTCGAACAGCTAACAGAACTGTGTCAGCAATAACTAAGGCTGTGTCTACTCGGGGAACAAAGAGATATAAACACATAACACACTGGTTGGGTTTAGCTTTATGTTAAGAGCATAGGAATAACAATAAGAAATTTATTTAAAAAAAAAAAGAACACTAGGAAAACAATTACTGGTTGGTTATTTGGTTCTTTCCAGAACTCTATTAACACCGACAAGGATTTTGTATATTGATGCAAACCAGCATGTTGGATTAACCTGAATCTGCATCCGGACTGGACCTGTATGTTGACATCTTTTACGAACTTGTTTCTTATTGCAACTAATTCCATCAGTTGAATTTGGTGAGGACGCCTACATCTAACAGAAGAAAAACTTTCATGCTTGAAATAAAATAAGAACACTAATTCACTTACCGCTCTCATTAGCCATATCAAGGAAAGCCTGAAGTTTTAGAGCTCTTCTATAATACATCATTCCTCTGACTGCAACATCAGCAAAAAGTGGTCAGTATAATCATAAGTCAATTTAGAGGGTCCTAAAATTAGCCTCAATCACCTGTGCGACAGAGAGTTTGACCCCTTAAGGAGGCCCAATGACGGATCTGTAAGATGTTTTCTTCATTTTCCCAAACCTGACTCTCTTTCTTACAATTAATTCGCTCCATGAAGTTGGTCCATTCGTCTGGCACAGTTGCAAAAGGACTATCAATTCAGATATACATAACTTCTCTAATTCCAAAAGAATCAAAATCACGATTGAGCGTCCCACCTGGATAGATTTTTTGCAAGTAGTATATAATGGACACACCATCTTCATTTTCCATTTCAAGGTCGGATTTAGAATAGACAGTTTCCTCGCTATAGTATGGGGTCATAACACTGTTATGGCAACAGAAACAAAGTATGGCAGAAATTTGTTAACTGTAATAAGAGCTTTTTCCGTATATCATAATGGCAAAATGAACTATCTAGGGTACGGATTTGAATGCTTTCTCATAATTAGGATTATCTAGAGACAAAATTTAGGACTGTTCTATGTGTCTATGAATGGTTCTAGATTTTTTTCTGAACAACTCTATCAAGTCATTTCATGAGAATAACGAATTTCATTCAGAAACTAGACTTTTTTTCTTTATACTCGGCCCATAATACAAAGTTTCATCAACATTAATCCAAGAAAAAGAGCCGAATCTTTCACTTAATCAGGAAACATACCTAAATGAGAGCATTTTGCGGACTCGTGGAGCACGTGGCATATCCATGAACAAGGAGTTCGTGAAAAACGAAATCCTCCTGCGTGCTTCAAGATTTGCTGGTACATCCATGGCAGATTCTTTTACCGTCAAAAGAAGATGAAGCCGTCTTATCTGGAGGAAGATTAGGGGGAAAATTCAGGCACCTGGTTGGTAAAATCAAGTGCTAATCAAAACCTTAATAGCTCAAGGGCTCAGCTGAAGGCAGTTGTTACTGTTCATCCCACTGAGCAGAAGCTGGGGGAGGAAATACTACAGCAGGTCTTGGATCTGTACAGCACAACAGTTGTCTTCCAGAATCCTTGCCACTATGTCCCGAGATCTACTAATTCACTGAAATATAACAGGAAACATTAATGGTTAGTAAAGAAATGATCATGGCATATGATAATATGCAACCAGAAGAGATACCAACCGATTCTCATTCACCATCAGATCACGGGTGACCAACTCTAACATATCTTGAAGCACAGCACCACGTCATCTCTCTTGGAAGGATCGCCATCTTTCTGCAACATAAAGAGACAGTCAAAAGGGTAGAATCATATATACATGATCAAGGGCTATGAACATCACAAGTAAGTAAACACAAATAAATAAGAGACCCACCAGGATTCCCACAGCACCACAACTTTTTCACAAAGAGCTGGCAAAGAGGCCATTCTGAAATTTGCAAGAAGTGTGCTCTTTGAAACATGACTCTCTATTTCTTTGATGATGATGCCAATTATCCTGCCATAAAACACCATCAGTCGATGGAATAAAAACTTATCACAGCGTGATCAAAGTTCAAAACGCTTAATGACGGCATATGAACACTAAAAGGTGGGGAATAAAGCTAACTAGCTCATTCACAATTGATGCTGCAGCATCATTCAAATTTGATTTGCTTGGTAAGGACCGGCTAATACATTAATGGACAAACAAGAGCCTGGTTCCCAGAAAGCAGGAAATCATATATAGAGGACAACAAGTAAGAACTAATAACAGGCCAGTTATAACTCTATTGAGGCAAAATAAGAACAGCAAGAGCCAGACGGATAATCAGTCTCATCTGAGTTTCCAAACAAACATGGAGCCACCAGAAAAGAAAGGGTGTCTTAGAACCCAACAATGAACAAGTCATATGCTTTCCTTTTAAAATCAACATGAATGAAAAAGAATTTTGAAATAGAGAAGGTAAGATATATAATAGTGAAAAGAACCTCTTTTCATTTTCTCCAACGACCAAAATATTGAGGACTTGTTTGAAGGATTCATAGCACTCAATCACAGCACATTTCATATACTCGTCTGCACATATACGTTTCCATAAGTCAGCATCCTTTGATCGGAAGTGCGCTGCCATATTCAGAGCTATAGGGATCTGCAAAAGGAAGTATAGTCAATTTCCTGGGGGAAAAGTAACGGAAATTTGGAATGTTCTATTAAGGCAATAAAGACCTTGCTTGCAAGCAAAAATGGTGGCCACTGGATCAACTTGATGCTGGGATCTGATGTATAAGGAACTACTAACAAAATCCATCTCCCTGGAGAAAGGAAATTCCCGGTTTATTATAAAAAATAAGTGAGGAAAAAGCCTTAGTTAACATTATTTATCTTGCTTGTGCAGCCTTTCCTGTCACTGATAAGATCTTCTTCACGGAAACTGGTTATCACTTCATTCCACAACTGGGCAAATTTGGCAGCTTCACTTCTTCTATTTGCTGAAACCTGGGAAAAAAAATGTAACAATCGAAGTAGTAAGAAGCAAAGCACAATCTAAGTATATGCATATCATAATGGACAAGAATCAAGATTCCAGTTAGAAGAAAGAAACCTCAGCAAATCTCTTCGACAGAGAAAATCCTTTTTTCTGAGCCTTGTCCGAAGGCACCAAATATGCATTAAATGCACCTGGCAATGACTGAAACCGTGACCTCAGCATACCCAGAGTTCGTATCTGCAAAGAAGCAAGGAATAAGTAGTGATATGGTACATAAATTAAAGCCCGTGTACCACTGATTACAATTCCATGGATGGTTCTCTAGGTAACATATCCACACTTAAACAAAAAAGAAGATCCATTTCCAGGTTATCAACCCAAATGATTCCGGAATTGAGAAGATTGAAGCAGTTCACTTGAAACCAGCACATGCCTCATATGGCAAATAATAGGGGGCATGAAAGTTAAGGGACCAACTGTATCCTTTAGAGAATCGTTGAAATATGTAGCAAAGAACGATTGAATTTTTATGCCTTCGCATTCAGTAACTATAGATGGAAATTATTATGTCGGAAAATTAAAGAAATTGTATTAGCTTCAGCTACAAATGATTGGTCTTGCAATCTTGCTTCACAGCTCCAGAAACTTTATTCATATCAAATCTTAAGACGTGCAAAAAAATCTCACGAAAGGAAGGAAGCGATAAAACAAGATAAAGTGAGTCTGAAAACTCCTAAAATTAACGAAACAAATTTGACTTTTTCGGAAAGAAATGAAGCAAGACCAGATTTATCATGCATGAAAAATGTGGTTTCTGCAGACCAATAATGTGAAAGAAAACACAAATTAAATGAATTATTGATAAGAACTAAGTGAAGCACAAGAGCAAAGGTGATAAGGAAATGACAAAAGAAAGATTGGAGATGCTTGCCTCTCCTAGGCGATCAACTGCTCCCTCAAAGCCACCGTATATGGTTGAGAATATAGCATACCAAATTTGTGTATCCATGAAATACACCTACATCCAATTTCATTGGCAGAATGGAGCTTGTCATCAAGCCCGTTGGCATCGACTACAGACAAATAGAAAAGGTAATGACAAGAAATAAAGGAAAAGATAGAATACATACCAATATTGTTGGTGCCCAGAGTGACAAAACTGCGCCATAGTTGTGGCGGGCTGCATTTCCAGGATGAATGTTAATGCATTACATAAGCCGAGTTAAAATCACAGAGAGAAAGAATATCACCCCATACCATAAGGGAAAATCTCATGCCAAGTATACTCTACATGTCGAATGTTCATGATGTCTTTTGTTGGTTTTACTAGGGGCTTTATCTGTAGAATAGAGAAAAGATTATACAACAAATACTCTAAAAATATAATATTCTATAATTATTTTTCTTCACAGTCCAATACTTGCCATATCAGTGAAGACACTACAAACGAAATAACCATTACAGCATGAGAAAAATGAGATTACCTGGATAAAGTAGCTGAACGTGAACTTGCAACTCAAAAGCAACACCCAAAAAATAGTATACCTAAAAGTGAAAGATTTTTTCAGAAATTATGGGATTTGGACAAGGGCACACAGCGGAAAAGGACATAATTTGTAAATTGAAGCCTAACAAGCTCACTTTATAAGTGAAAATTGACTTTCATGCATTCCCCTTCCAACATAAATCCTTGGCTGCAGGAAAAAGGGAGGGGAAACAATCAGACACAGAATGAGCTTGTTCAGCAGCTCAAGACAAAAGATTAATAAAGAAACAATCAGTAAAAGATCCCAACACATGCTGATAGATACACTGCATTCAGAACTGGAAAATATGAGGTGGGTGACATGAAGTGTCATGGGAAACCTATTTCAGAAATAGATATTGGATAAGAGGGGTACAGAGAACAAAACTGCTGCAACTTAAAGATAAAATGGGAAAACATGATACAGATAACTAGAACAGAACATGGAGCAAAATATGGATACCTGTGACCACCACAATAGGAGTCTAACAATGAGCCAGTCTGAGTTCTCAATCCATCTTCTGAGCATGGGGAAGATGAACAAAGAAGCCGCCAAGATATTCGGGACCATGTATACAACTACAGCAAACAAGTATATCGGAGGAATACTCTTCACTGTGCGGAGGAAATCCATTCCCCTTGTGAAACCACTCACTTGCTTGAGGTTTCCCGAATAACAGAGTGGAAGAATGACAGCCCATGCAAAACTAACAATGATCTTAAGGATGTTCCTCAGAACATCCGTAAATTTCCATCTATGATATCCAGGGAAGTTGAGAACAAGGTCAAGAATACCTAAAAAAAGAGAGTCAAGTGCAATCAGGTGAAAAGGGAGGGGGCATGGACAGGAACAATTAGATATAAGAGCAAATTAAGTGTATAAACATAAAACCAGACAAATCAATCCATAAAGAAGTTCAGTCTCCAAATTGATCCAGTTGTTTGCAGCGCATGGATGTGAGTTATCAAGTTCTAAGAGGCCTACTCAATTCTTATTTAGCACCAAGTAATTATCTGCAGGTAAGAAATGAAATCTACAGTTCCTTTAAAAATCAATTCAATAGAGACCTGTTAATTAGCAGACCAGAAACACATCATTGCTCATAGAAGAAGAGCTAACACATAGGAATGTTCTCCATCATCTCCCATAAATGCTGAGGCTTAATTAAAATGTCAACCTAGAGTAACATAATAGTGTAAAAGCAAAATGAAGACAATGGAAAAGAAGATTTTCATGTGTATCTAATGCCTATTTCTATCCTCAAGTAGACGTTAACTGCAACCTAGAGTAACATAGTCTCCAAAAAGAAATATATACCTTTAAAGCGCCAGTGACCAGAAAAACATTCAAAAGTATGGAGTCTGGTATATCAAAGACAAACTTTGCATTCTATTCATTGTGGCAAGGGGCTTTTCAATTTATGGCATTCAGATAGTCGAGAATAAGTACTCAAGTAAGTGAATGAACAGTGAAAACTGAACTGTATCAGTAACAAGTGTAGCTCATGTTAAATATCATACTCTGAAGGAACCGCAGAAAGGCCGCCGTAATGAAAATACTTGATAGGTAATACAACACATCCCTTCTGAGTATATTTTGTATTGCTACTCCACTCCAAGCATAGATGATCATTAACTGCAACAATTTGTTGGCCAATTCTTTAGAATACTCGGATAGGTACAGAAGCATGAAACTAATGATTACAGAACCAACTTTGCCACTCAAAACGGAAATACCTGAAAGGCTAGCAAAAAAAAGTCCACAATCTGTCAAAGCTTCGAAATATGTGCCAAAATGTTCGCGTTTCAACAAAATATGATTTTCCCGTGCTACCAGAGTATCCTGGAGGAGTCTTCTTTCCCTGTCACACAATTTTGTTAAGCAAGATCCAGCGGTTAACTTAGATATTGCAGTGAGAGTCAAAATATCAGTACAACCTTAACTTCATCACGTGTTGATTTGAAGAATGCACCATCATCACGCATAGGCCAACCAAGAGAGAAGCAATCAGATGACCTGAACAGAAAAAGAAAAAAAAACAGCAAAACTGATCATCTAAGTGAAGGAAAGAATTGAAAGGACTAAAGTCAGATCATTAGTTACATTGTAGCAAACTAACCAGAAATATTCATTAAGATCGTCATAGTTGCACCATTCTGTACTAGAAGCTGTACCATTTTGACTCTTACTCGCTTCCTGGAATAAGTGAGGGCAACTCTTCATTCTCTATACATGCGCCAGTATTGTGAAGTGACTATGTCTACTTTTTTAAACTCATACCTTTGCTATTACTCGGTAGATGGTGTTATAACTTTCCTCAGAAACGCCTCATCGTCTCCGCCATAAAGAAGGCTTAATATTTTCTCCAGTTACAATGCTCACATTTCCAGCTAATAAGCCATGGAGTTCATAGGCCATCTGAAAATTATGATGACAATATCATTAATGAAATCATAACCCAACAAAACACAAATTTTCCACTTTGAACACTTTCATCAATAAAAGGAATGAGAAAATGCACCAAGATATGACTACTTACATTGTGAAAGATGTAGCAAAGACACTCTGGCATGAACCGAACGTTAGCTGCTTCACCCCAGATAAGAAGGTACAAAACCCATGTAAGTATTTTTCTTTGCTGGATTTCGGGCTGACTTTGAGGAAGTCTGCAACAAATGAAATTAAAACTCACTTTGCAACTTCTCTAGAATGCTTAAGTTTTCCCATCAAGGAATAAATCACAAAGAAAAAAACCAGTATTTATTGTCATAGAATGCTTACCGTAAACTGTGTTTCCTTCCTAAAAATTTGCACCAATTTTTATAGTTCTTAAAAATCTTATTCATTACTGCATCTACAGCTCTTTCATCAAGCTGCATAAAGACAAAAGATACCCATAAACCCTCATAAGAAAAATTCAATTATTTACTCCAAGTCAATGATCCACTAGTTAGCTTGGTCAATATTTCAGAATTCATTTTGACTTGTAGATTAGGCACACTGTGATTTAATCACATCCATAACAAAACGAACACTCTCCTTTTCATAGTCATCAGCATGCACTTATATTTATGTTCAAGTAATAAACCGGAGGTAAACACCCACTGTCCATATACTTACAACAACAGGTAAAAATTTCAAGTTACAATTAGGACTTTGGATGACTTATACATAGATGCACGAATGATCTATACTTCAGATTTATATAGCTTACACCATAACATATTACATATGAGAAGAGGAGAACTAACAACAAAAGTCAGCACATGCCTTATTAAGAGGTTCGGGCTTGGGGTGGAGCCTTATATGGTTGTTGGCAAGTAGCAATATCAGATGCTCTCTCTGGTTCCGAACACTGTCTCTCTGTGTTCAAAGAAAACACAAGCACATTACAAAAGGTCTCCAAGCTGTTAATAGTTACTGCTGGTATCATTGGTTTCAAGTCAAAAACGCACCTGGAAGCCAAACATGGCCCTTAACCAATCAAGAAGGTCGAGATCCCCTGCTTTCTGCCTGTGCTGTTCAAAAGCTGAAGGCCATGACAACCCTCGGGTATTCCATAGTGCTGCAACTGCTGCCTTGACCTGAAGATGTAGAAATATTCAGGAGACGCAAATGGTATCACCATCAGAACAATGACAATCTATCATGGAAATGATAGATCAATGCAGCGCATCGGTAGAGAGTCTGGCGAACATAAAACAAGTCCTACCTCCTCAAGTTGCATAATTGATTGGGAAGCCCCGGCAGAATCCAGGGGAAGAATATTGTATGGTGCATAGATTTCCTTCTTTTCTTGGATGTCTCTAGCCGCAGCAATAATCTACACCATTGCAACAATCTCACTTATCTTCACCCCACGAGCAATCATAAATTAAACAATACAAAAAAGTTAAAAACAATCTCACAAGTTGATTGGCAACAACCTAGGAAGGGACTAACCTCAGGGGCAAACCTCTTCAACTTTCTCAGTCCTTATTAACGGCGCAAAGTACTTCAAAAAGAACTCCTGCTGTCTGATAGGCCTTGCCAAGTTGAGCTCTGAAAGGATTCGGATGAAGTGCATACTTTGAAAACCCGTCAAGGTGGATACCCTTGTGCAAAACGGACACTCACAGAAAGCCAAAATTACCTGTCTGCTTGCTCGCCCTGCTCGAGTGGCTTCAACATATTGTTTATAATACTGGTAATAGAAGCTCTGGATTTCCCGCGCATCCGTTTTTTTAACCCGGGAGGCGATACTGGATGCGTTTTCCTGAGTTAAATCGACAAGACAAAGAGGGGAAATTTAGTCTTCGAAGAACTGAATGTTCAATGGACAAGGGTAAATCAGTGCATGCCAAACACGTATCCCTACGAAACAAACTAAAGGACCCGCGCCATCCCAAACCTGGAACTGATTACAGCTGCCGCTTGCATCACTCCTCCTAGAAACGGACCTCTTCGGTTCATTCTGTAACTTTGTTCCTTTCTACGAACTAAATTCCTAGCTTCACCTCGAAATTTTCTGAGAGAAGAAGATTGCGTCGTTTCCATATTCCTTCCCTTGGATGAGTAATCCACTAAAACCCTTCATAGTTTACTACAACTGTGACGATTAAGATCATACAAAAACGCTGTTTCTGCATTTTGGAACCAAAAGACAGGCAGAACAGTTGCGACTTGCGAGGAAAATAGAAACGCAGTAGTCAGCCTAGACTCCAAACTCAGCCGAAGTTTCATCTAAAGCCCAAAACCTATGAAGCCCAAATATGTAGCCCAAAACTTCTTGTTTCAGCCCTTATGACAATGACAATGAGAGTATGAGACCCGCTTCGCCTTCTACATCTCGTAACAATTCATGACTATCAATTCAGATATACATAACTTCTCTAATTCCAAAAGAATCAAAATCACGATTGAGCGTCCCACCTGGATAGATTTTTTGCAAGTAGTATATAATGGACACACCATCTTCATTTTCCATTTCAAGGTCGGATTTAGAATAGACAGTTTCCTCGCTATAGTATGGGGTCATAACACTGTTATGGCAACAGAAACAAAGTATGGCAGAAATTTGTTAACTGTAATAAGAGCTTTTTCCGTATATTCATAATGGCAAAATGAACTATCTAGGGTACGGATTTGAATGCTTTCTCATAATTAGGATTATCTAGAGACAAAATTTAGGACTGTTCTATGTGTCTATGAATGGTTCTAGATTTTTTTCTGAACAACTCTATCAAGTCATTTCATGAGAATAACGAATTTCATTCAGAAACTAGACTTTTCTTTTCTTTATACTCGGCCCATAATACAAAGTTTCATCAACATTAATCCAAGAAAAAGAGCCGAATCTTTCACTTAATCAGGAAACATACCTAAATGAGAGCATTTTGCGGACTCGTGGAGCACGTGGCATATCCATGAACAAGGAGTTCGTGAAAAACGAAATCCTCCTGCGTGCTTCAAGATTTGCTGGTACATCCATGGCAGATTCTTTTACCGTCAAAAGAAGATGAAGCCGTCTTATCTGGAGGAAGATTAGGGGGAAAATTCAGGCACCTGGTTGGTAAAATCAAGTGCTAATCAAAACCTTAATAGCTCAAGGGCTCAGCTGAAGGCAGTTGTTACCTGTTCATCCCACTGAGCAGAAGCTGGGGGAGGAAATACTACAGCAGGTCTTGGATCTGTACCAGCAAACAGTTGTCTTCCAGAATCCTTGCCACTATGTCCGAGATCTACTAATTCACTGAAATATAACAGGAAACATTAATGGTTAGTAAAGAAATGATCAAATGGCATATGATAATATGCAACCAGAAGATATACCAACCGATTCTCATTCACCATCAGATCACGGGTGACCAACTCTAACATATCTTGAAGCAACAGCACCACATCATCTCTCTTGGAAGGGTCGCCATCTTTCTGCAACATAAAGAGACAGTCAAAAGGGTAGAATCATATATACATGATCAAGGGCTATGAACATCACAAGTAAGTAAACACAAATAAATAAGAGACCCACCAGGATTCCCACAAGCACCACAACTTTTTCACAAAGAGCTGGCAAAGAGGCCATTCTGAAATTTGCAAGAAGTGTGCTCTTTGAAACATGACTCTCTATTTCTTTGATGATGATGCCAATTATCCTGCCATAAAACACCATCAGTCGATGGAATAAAAACTTATCACAGCGTGATCAAAGTTCAAAACGCTTAATGACGGCATATGAACACTAAAAGGTGGGGAATAAAGCTAACTAGCTCATTCACAATTGATGCTGCAGCATCATTCAAATTTGATTTGCTTGGTAAGGACCGGCTAATACATTAATGGACAAACAAGAGCCTGGTTCCCAGAAAGCAGGAAATCATATATAGAGGACAACAAGTAAGAACTAATAACAGGCCAGTTATAACTCTATTGAGGCAAAATAAGAACAGCAAGAGCCAGACGGATAATCAGTCTCATCTGAGTTTCCAAACAAACATGGAGCCACCAGAAAAGAAAGGGTGTCTTAGAACCCAACAATGAACAAGTCATATGCTTTCCTTTTAAAATCAACATGAATGAAAAAGAATTTTGAAATAGAGAAGGTAAGATATATAATAGTGAAAAGAACCTCTTTTCATTTTCTCCAACGACCAAAATATTGAGGACTTGTTTGAAGGATTCATAGCACTCAATCACAGCACATTTCATATACTCGTCTGCACATATACGTTTCCATAAGTCAGCATCCTTTGATCGGAAGTGCGCTGCCATATTCAGAGCTATAGGGATCTGCAAAAGGAAGTATAGTCAATTTCCTGGGGGAAAAGTAACGGAAATTTGGAATGTTCTATTAAGGCAATAAAGACCTTGCTTGCAAGCAAAAATGGTGGCCACTGGATCAACTTGATGCTGGGATCTGATGTATAAGGAACTACTAACAAATCCATCTCCCTGGAGAAAGGAAATTCCCGGTTTATTATAAAAAATAAGTGAGGAAAAAGCCTTAGTTAACATTATTTATCTTGCTTGTGCAGCCTTTCCTGTCACTGATAAGATCTTCTTCACGGAAACTGGTTATCACTTCATTCCACAACTGGGCAAATTTGGCAGCTTCACTTCTTCTATTTGCTGAAACCTGGGAAAAAAAATGTAACAATCGAAGTACGTAAGAAGCAAAGCACAATCTAAGTATATGCATATCATAATGGACAAGAATCAAGATTCCAGTTAGAAGAAAGAAACCTCAGCAAATCTCTTCGACAGAGAAAATCCTTTTTTCTGAGCCTTGTCCGAAGGCACCAAATATGCATTAAATGCACCTGGCAATGACTGAAACCGTGACCTCAGCATACCCAGAGTTCGTATCTGCAAAGAAGCAAGGAATAAGTAGTGATATGGTACATAAATTAAAGCCCGTGTACCACTGATTACAATTCCATGGATGGTTCTCTAGGTAACATATCCACACTTAAACAAAAAAGAAGATCCATTTCCAGGTTATCAACCCAAATGATTCCGGAATTGAGAAGATTGAAGCAGTTCACTTGAAACCAGCACATGCCTCATATGGCAAATAATAGGGGGCATGAAAGTTAAGGGACCAACTGTATCCTTTAGAGAATCGTTGAAATATGTAGCAAAGAACGATTGAATTTTTTATGCCTTCGCATTCAGTAACTATAGATGGAAATTATTATGTCGGAAAATTAAAGAAATTGTATTAGCTTCAGCTACAAATGATTGGTCTTGCAATCTTGCTTCACAGCTCCAGAAACTTTATTCATATCAAATCTTAAGACGTGCAAAAAAATCTCACGAAAGGAAGGAAGTGATAAAACAAGATAAAGTGAGTCTGAAAACTCCTAAAATTAACGAAACAAATTTGACTTTTTCGGAAAGAAATGAAGCAAGACCAGATTTATCATGCATGAAAAATGTGGTTTCTGCAGACCAATAATGTGAAAGAAAACACAAATTAAATGAATTATTGATAAGAACTAAGTGAAGCACAAGAGCAAAGGTGATAAGGAAATGACAAAAGAAAGATTGGAGATGCTTGCCTCTCCTAGGCGATCAACTGCTCCCTCAAAGCCACCGTATATGGTTGAGAATATAGCATACCAAATTTGTGTATCCATGAAATACACCTACATCCAATTTCATTGGCAGAATGGAGCTTGTCATCAAGCCCGTTGGCATCGACTACAGACAAATAGAAAAGGTAATGACAAGAAATAAAGGAAAAGATAGAATACATACCAATATTGTTGGTGCCCAGAGTGACAAAACTGCGCCATAGTTGTGGCGGGCTGCATTTCCAGGATGAATGTTAATGCATTACATAAGCCGAGTTAAAATCACAGAGAGAAAGAATATCACCCCATACCATAAGGGAAAATCTCATGCCAAGTATACTCTACATGTCGAATGTTCATGATGTCTTTTGTTGGTTTTACTAGGGGCTTTATCTGTAGAATAGAGAAAAGATTATACAACAAATACTCTAAAAATATAATATTCTATAATTATTTTTCTTCACAGTCCAATACTTGCCATATCAGTGAAGACACTACAAACGAAATAACCATTACAGCATGAGAAAAATGAGATTACCTGGATAAAGTAGCTGAACGTGAACTTGCAACTCAAAAGCAACACCCAAAAAATAGTATACCTAAAAGTGAAAGATTTTTTCAGAAATTATGGGATTTGGACAAGGGCACACAGCGGAAAAGGACATAATTTGTAAATTGAAGCCTAACAAGCTCACTTTATAAGTGAAAATTGACTTTCATGCATTCCCCTTCCAACATAAATCCTTGGCTGCAGGAAAAAGGGAGGGGAAACAATCAGACACAGAATGAGCTTGTTCAGCAGCTCAAGACAAAAGATTAATAAAGAAACAATCAGTAAAAGATCCCAACACATGCTGATAGATACACTGCATTCAGAACTGGAAAATATGAGGTGGGTGACATGAAGTGTCATGGGAAACCTATTTCAGAAATAGATATTGGATAAGAGGGGTACAGAGAACAAAACTGCTGCAATTTAAAGATAAAATGGGAAAACATGATACAGATAACTAGAACAGAACATGGAGCAAAATATGGATACCTGTGACCACCACAATAGGAGTCTAACAATGAGCCAGTCTGAGTTCTCAATCCATCTTCTGAGCATGGGGAAGATGAACAAAGAAGCCGCCAAGATATTCGGGACCATGTATACAACTACAGCAAACAAGTATATCGGAGGAATACTCTTCACTGTGCGGAGGAAATCCATTCCCCTTGTGAAACCACTCACTTGCTTGAGGTTTCCCGAATAACAGAGTGGAAGAATGACAGCCCATGCAAAACTAACAATGATCTTAAGGATGTTCCTCAGAACATCCGTAAATTTCCATCTATGATATCCAGGGAAGTTGAGAACAAGGTCAAGAATACCTAAAAAAAAGAGAGTCAAGTGCAATCAGGTGAAAAGGGAGGGGGCATGGACAGGAACAATTAGATATAAGAGCAAATTAAGTGTATAAACATAAAACCAGACAAATCAATCCATAAAGAAGTTCAGTCTCCAAATTGATCCAGTTGTTTGCAGCGCATGGATGTGAGTTATCAAGTTCTAAGAGGCCTACTCAATTCTTATTTAGCACCAAGTAATTATCTGCAGGTAAGAAATGAAATCTACAGTTCCTTTAAAAATCAATTCAATAGAGACCTGTTAATTAGCAGACCAGAAACACATCATTGCTCATAGAAGAAGAGCTAACACATAGGAATGTTCTCCATCATCTCCCATAAATGCTGAGGCTTACATTAAAATGTCAACCTAGAGTAACATAATAGTGTAAAAGCAAAATGAAGACAATGGAAAAGAAGATTTTAATGTGTATCTAATGCCTATTTCTATCCTCAAGTAGACGTTAACTGCAACCTAGAGTAACATAGTCTCCAAAAAGAAATATATACCTTTAAAGCGCCAGTGACCAGAAAAACATTCAAAAGTATGGAGTCTGGTATATCAAAGACAAACTTTGCATTCTATTCATTGTGGCAAGGGGCTTTTCAATTTATGGCATTCAGATAGTCGAGAATAAGTACTCAAGTAAGTGAATGAACAGTGAAAACTGAACTGTATCAGTAACAAGTGTAGCTCATGTTAAATATCATACTCTGAAGGAACCGCAGAAAGGCCGCCGTAATGAAAATACTTGATAGGTAATACAACACATCCCTTCTGAGTATATTTTGTATTGCTACTCCACTCCAAGCATAGATGATCATTAACTGCAACAATTTGTTGGCCAATTCTTTAGAATACTCGGATAGGTACAGAAGCATGAAACTAATGATTACAGAACCAACTTTGCCACTCAAAACGGAAATACCTGAAAGGCTAGCACAAAAAAAGTCCACAATCTGTCAAAGCTTCGAAATATGTGCCAAAATGTTCGCGTTTCAACAAAATATGATTTTCCCGTGCTACCAGAGTATCCTGGAGGAGTCTTCTTTCCCTGTCACACAATTTTGTTAAGCAAGATCCAGCGGTTAACTTAGATATTGCAGTGAGAGTCAAAATATCAGTACAACCTTAACTTCATCACGTGTTGATTTGAAGAATGCACCATCATCGCGCATAGGCCAACCAAGAGAGAAGCAATCAGATGACCTGAACAGAAAAAGAAAAAAAAACAGCAAAACTGATCATCTAAGTGAAGGAAAGAATTGAAAGGACTAAAGTCAGATCATTAGTTACATTGTAGCAAACTAACCAGAAATATTCATTAAGATCGTCATAGTTGCACCATTCTGTACTAGAAGCTGTACCATTTTGACTCTTACTCGCTTCCTGGAATAAGTGAGGGCAACTCTTCATTCTCTATACAATGCGCCAGTATTGTGAAGTGACTATGTCTACTTTTTTAAACTCATACCTTTGCTATTACTCGGTAGATTGGTGTTATAACTTTCCTCAGAAACGCCTCATCGTCTCCGCCATAAGAAGGCTTAATATTTTCTCCAGTTACAATGCTCACATTTCCAGCTAATAAGCCATGGAGTTCATAGGCCATCTGAAAATTATGATGACAATATCATTAATGAAATCATAACCCAACAAAACACAAATTTTCCACTTTGAACACTTTCATCAATAAAAGGAATGAGAAAATGCACCAAGATATGACTACTTACATTGTGAAAGATGTAGCAAAGACACTCTGGCATGAACCGAACGTTAGCTGCTTCACCCCAGATAAGAAGGTACAAACCCATGTAAAGTATTTTTCTTTGCTGGATTTCGGGCTGACTTTGAGGAAGTCTGCAACAAATGAAATTAAAACTCACTTTGCAACTTCTCTAGAATGCTTAAGTTTTCCCATCAAGGAATAAATCACAAAGAAAAAAACCAAGTATTTATTGTCATAGAATGCTTACCGTAAACTGTGTTTCCTTCCTAAAAATTTGCACCAATTTTTATAGTTCTTAAAAATCTTATTCATTACTGCATCTACAGCTCTTTCATCAAGCTGCATAAAGACAAAAGATACCCATAAACCCTCATAAGAAAAATTCAATTATTTACTCCAAGTCAATGATCCACTAGTTAGCTTGGTCAATATTTCAGAATTCATTTTGACTTGTAGATTAGGCACACTGTGATTTAATCACATCCATAACAAAACGAACACTCTCCTTTTCATAGTCATCAGCATGCACTTATATTTATGTTCAAGTAATAAACCGGAGGTAAACACCCACTGTCCATATACTTACAACAACAGGTAAAAATTTCAAGTTACAATTAGGACTTTGGATGACTTATACATAGATGCACGAATGATCTATACTTCAGATTTATATAGCTTACACCATAACATATTACATATGAGAAGAGGAGAACTAAACAACAAAAGTCAGCACATGCCTTATTAAGAGGTTCGGGCTTGGGGTGGAGCCTTATATGGTTGTTGGCAAGTAGCAATATCAGATGCTCTCTCTGGTTCCGAACACTGTCTCTCTGTGTTCAAAGAAAACACAAGCACATTACAAAAGGTCTCCAAGCTGTTAATAGTTACTGCTGGTATCATTGGTTTCAAGTCAAAAACGCACCTGGAAGCCAAACATGGCCCTTAACCAATCAAGAAGGTCGAGATCCCCTGCTTTCTGCCTGTGCTGTTCAAAAGCTGAAGGCCATGACAACCCTCGGGTATTCCATAGTGCTGCAACTGCTGCCTTGACCTGAAGATGTAGAAATATTCAGGAGACGCAAATGGTATCACCATCAGAACAATGACAATCTATCATGGAAATGATAGATCAATGCAGCGCATCGGTAGAGAGTCTGGCGAACATAAAACAAGTCCTACCTCCTCAAGTTGCATAATTGATTGGGAAGCCCCGGCAGAATCCAGGGGAAGAATATTGTATGGTGCATAGATTTCCTTCTTTTCTTGGATGTCTCTAGCCGCAGCAATAATCTACACCATTGCAACAATCTCACTTATCTTCACCCCACGAGCAATCATAAATTAAACAATACAAAAAAGTTAAAAACAATCTCACAAGTTGATTGGCAACAACCTAGGAAGGGACTAACCTCAGGGGCAACCTCTTCAACTTTCTCAGTCTTATTAACGGCGCAAAGTACTTCAAAAAGAACTCCTGCTGTCTGATAGGCCTTGCCAAGTTGAGCTCTGAAAGGATTCGGATGAAGTGCATACTTTGAAAACCCGTCAAGGTGGATACCCTTGTGCAAACGGACACTCACAGAAAGCCAAAATTACCTGTCTGCTTGCTCGCCCTGCTCGAGTGCTTCAACATATTGTTTATAATACTGGTAATAGAAGCTCTGGATTTCCCGCGCATCCGTTTTTTTAACCCGGGAGGCGATACTGGATGCGTTTTCCTGAGTTAAATCGACAAGACAAAGAGGGGAAATTTAGTCTTCGAAGAACTGAATGTTCAATGGACAAGGGTAAATCAGTGCATGCCAAACACGTATCCCTACGAACAAACTAAAGGACCCGCGCCATCCCAAACCTGGAACTGATTACAGCTGCCGCTTGCATCACTCCTCCTAGAAACGGACCTCTTCGGTTCATTCTGTAACTTTGTTCCTTTCTACGAACTAAATTCCTAGCTTCACCTCGAAATTTTCTGAGAGAAGAAGATTGCGTCGTTTCCATATTCCTTCCCTTGGATGAGTAATCCACTAAAACCCTTCATAGTTTACTACAACTGTGACGATTAAGATCATACAAAAACGCTGTTTCTGCATTTTGGAACCAAAAGACAGGCAGAACAGTTGCGACTTGCGAGGAAAATAGAAACGCAGTAGTCAGCCTAGACTCCAAACTCAGCCGAAGTTTCATCTAAAGCCCAAAACCTATGAAGCCCAAATATGTAGCCCAAAACTTCTTGTTTCAGCCCTTATGACAATGACAATGAGAGTATGAGACCCGCTTCGCCTTCTACATCTCGTAACAATTCATGCGACTTTTCAAAGCTATACAGTGGGGAGCAACGAATCAGTTACCCTTTCGACTCTTTGCAGCAAGGCTGTTTTGAACTGCCTCACACCACGTCCACTAGAGCTGGGATCCAGCCGATGCGCCTTCTCAAATGCGTAAAATCGACCTATGCAATACGAAAGATAATCAATACCTAATAACTAACAACAAGAACTCCACATTCGTGAAAACCAGAAGAATTGACACTGATCAAATAGGTAAGGCAAACTATTGCAATTGTGACATTGCTGTACTTACAGAGATAGGCAACGCGAGGGCGCTCATTTTGGATCTCGTTAGCGACTCGGAGGATCGGCTTGATCGATTCCAAGGAGGAAGGGACGACTGAGTTGTCGAAGACCTCGGTGGAGAAGGTTGTCGTCGCAGCGCCACGCGACGGCCGCCTGATCAAGTGTGGATTGGGCGCCTCAGCGTTCGGCATCGATTAATCCCTGGGAAAACCTTTTTAATCTGTCCTCTTGCGTCTTGGCTGGCTACAGCTTCTGTTACGTCGGCGGCGTTTATTACCACGGCCGATCAGATTGCATTCTCTTCAATCCTTGTGTACCTATTCAACATCCTACCTGCTTTTGATCACCACAGCACAACAGTGGTAAAGATTACAGCTAAACGTTAATCTCCACAGATAATTATTCCGGATTTTCTCGGCAACCAAACAGGTAACACTAATTTCCATCGAACGCATCAGGTCAAAAGTAAAATAGCTCAATGGTACATCGACTTGTCATTCACATTCTCCTTCATTCAAAATCATTTCACGGCTCTACCGTAACCAAACAGTCAAATCGAAGACCGAGAGAGAATCCCTAACGGAACGACGGCGGTCGCCGACGGAGCACATAAGCAGAGAAAATTCGGGAATTGGAGAGGAAGATAGATTGAAAGATCAATATTCATCCACCATTCAAACTGAGATGAAAAATCAATCTCCACCGATCCTGAATTCCAGATTTTCTCGGAAACCAAGCAGGCAATACTAATTCCGTAAGAAACGTAAACGATTAAAGAGTAAAATAGCTCAATACTTTTTCCGCAATCTCATTTCCACTTTCTTTCAAGAAATCATCCCCTCGGAAACGAAACAAACAGGAAACAAATAGCAAGGAAGACGCAAATGAGAACAAACGGAACCGAAAATCTCAAGAGAAAGATCACCAGAATCCGGAGCACAACGACGGCGGTCGCCGACGGAGCTCGTTCAATCGCCCGGTGATCGGACCTAACTCCCGCGCGGGAAAAAAAATCCAAAACTGAGATTCCTCCTGAAACGAAGAATGACATTAGAAGCCATCGATCGCAGCTACAGACGAGAACAGAGAACGCAGCGAAATCAACTTACGATTGGACAGAAGAGAAGAGAGAGATGTGTGAGAGAGAGAAGGTGTAGGCGCGTGTAGCTGTTTGGCTCAATCGGATTAGGGTTTTTCCGTACGAGAAAGAGGAGGAGGAGGGGAGAAGAAAAAGAGTTGCAGAAAGGGCGGTGTGTGAGAATGACACACTGGTTTTTGTTTTCTGGTAAAAGAGAAGAAGCGCGGGAGGGGAGAAACGCTGAAGAGAAATGAGAGGACACGTGGCGGTCGGCTGAGGGATGGGGGTGGGGACCAAATTTGGAGGGAGAAAGGGCCCGATTTCCACGGGCCTGAGAGGCATCTTTGGAGGCCCGCTCGTTTCGCGCCCTGTTTTTTCTTTAAAAAAAATCATAATATTATTGTCAAAGCTGATATATTGAATTTCGCTGCTTTTTGGAAAAAATTGAAAAAATCAAAATATAATTGGAAAAAATAACGGGGAAAACTTGGAACATTTTGCATTTTCGAGAAAATTGAGGATTTTGAAAATTCTTGACCCATTCAGATGAGTTGCTTTTTGGTCATTAATAGAAAAACAACAAGATAATATGTTGAAGGGGTATTTTTAGGTATTTTAATAATCAGAAATGGAGGAGGAAATTATTAACATAATAAAATTTAATTTTAATAGTTTAGTTTTTTATGCTAGTTGTCACTTCCATTCGGTGGTCCTCTTCAGTCTCCCGTCTTCCAATATTCTTTCATTTTCATTAACAATACTAATGAGATTCAACTTATCTATCTATTTTTATTTTCTTTGTTTGAATATCATTCATTGAAAAATCAAATTATATCCAAATCGAATACATTATCCTCTAGTGTAGTTGTTGTGGCTGGTATTTTCATAAATAAATGAATGGTTGTTTGAGCCCAATCGACTGGGGGTCGCTCGGGTCCAAGGGGTTTGGGGTGTCAGCCATGACCTTGAGGGGGTAGGCGCCCCGCCTCGTCCGAAGTAGAAAAAGAGAAGAAGTATATAGAGAGAGAAAGTAGAGAGAAGTTAGAGTAAGAGTAGATAGATTGCCATTTATGAGGAGAGAACTCCTATTTATACACATTTGAGGGTTAGGTAGTGGTCTGGGCGCCTACCAAGCCATAAATGCTCTGGTCGGGCGCCTCAGACTCTCTGACACTGTTCATAGTCCTTTTGGCAGAGGGTGTCCCCCTGCCCCTTGTCCTTGCTGATGTCAGGTGCCTGGGCTTGTCTCTTGTCCCCCAGCCTTGTTTTTTTCCTCTTGTCTTCTTCCCTTCTCCATGTCATTAGCCATGGTATTAATTCCTTAGTCACTATGATACCCTATCAATTGCCCCTTTTGGCGATGCCGTGAGTATACGGTATCGTCAAACAAATATGCTCTATGTTGGTAAACTACACAAACTATGAAGAAACGGAAAAAGAAAGAGAGAAAGAAAAAATAAAAAATAAAATACATAGGCGCCCGGCGCCTTCGGCTAATCGGGGGCGCCACCCCCTTCGCTTTTTTTCCAATCGGTAGCGCCTCCTCCCCTTCTTTTCGCTAGGCACTTTTCGGTTTTTTTGAATCGTTTTTCTTTTGCAGGCGCCTCGCTTCATCTCTTTCGTTTGGGTAGGCGCCCGACGCCTTCAGCTTATCGGGGGCGCCACCCACTTCGCTCTTTTCCAATCGGGAGCGCCTCCTCCGCTTTGACTACTGCCGTGTGCCTCCTTTCGCGGCCTAGGTACGCTCTCTCCTCTCTTACCCATTGTTCGCTACATTACTAACCGCCTTTTCCAGGCGCCTTCCCTTTCCGCTTCTTCGATTTTCCTTCTTCGACGGCAGGCGCCTCCCCTTACCGCTCTTCGATTTAGAGGCGCCGCGCAGCTTTCTCCTCTTTTTCCCATAGTTCGCTTCGTTACTAATCTTCTGATCTGTTGAGCGCTTGTGCACCCGCGTGGGTGTGCTTGCTTCCAAATAAGATGTAGTAAAATGAGAAAGAATAAACACATGTCTCAAGTAACGAAGACTAGTTGAAGAAGCAATCATGCCCCTTTTATCAAGCGCCTGACGCTTGCATTCTTCCGTTCTTCATCAATTATTTCCCAAGTGACCACTTTTTCATCTTAGAGGATGCGCCTACACTCGTGTTAGAGGATTCAATCTATCTTGACAATCATATGAAATTGAAACAAACTTGTCAGTTTTCCTTTGAACACCCTGTGCCTTGCCCATTTGAAACGAGCGCCTAGCGCTCTTTTCCCATTTTCTTCTTTTTGCCAAAAGATACCAATGATATTCAAATACTTTCCATTCATTGTCTGAGATGCTACATTTTTCTTTCGATTACTTGTGCTCTTGTAGAAGAGTGCTTGCTTCGATTCTTTGGCTAATCACTTGTCACCCAGCTTGTCGTTAGTTGCACTATGACCCAAACTCAACGAGATGTCTGGCGAATCGCTCCTTTGCCGAGGTGTATGACCTTCAGTTGGGCGCCTGGCACCTCACTGAAGAGTGAGGTGCATGACCTTCAGTGGGGCGCCTGGCGCCTCACTCCTTCGCTTATGTCTTTGATAAGCATTTGTCATCCAGCTTGTCGTTTGTTACCTTAAGACACAAAGTCAACGAGGTGACTGGCGACTCGCTCATTTGCCAAGGTCTTTGACCTTCAGTTGGGCGCCTGGCACCTCACTCCTTCAGCGAGGTGCCTGACCTTCAGTGTCACTACTCTTCTTGTAGACCTTCTCCAAGTATTATCCGAGGTGCCTGACCTTCAGTTGGGCGCCTGACACCACACTACTTCGACGAGGTGCCTGACCTTCAGTGGGGCACCTGGTGACTCGCTCCTTTGTCGAGGTGTCTGACCTTTGATACGGCGGCTGACACCTCACTCCTTTGGTGAGGTGCCTAGCGACTCGCTCCTTTGCCTAGGTGTTGACATTTAGTTGGGCGCCTGTCACCTCACTCCTTCAGCGGGGCGCCTGGCACCGTACTCCTTCAACGAGATGTCTAACCTTCAGTGGAGCGCCTGGCACCTCACTCCTTCGGCGAGGTGCCTAACCTTCAGTGAGGCACATGGAGACTTGCTCCTTTGTCGAGGTGTCTGACATTTAGTTGGGCGCCTGACACCTTACTCCTTCAGCAAGGTGTCTAACCTTCAGTTGAGTGCCTGGAGACTCACTCCTTTGCCGATGCTACCCCCTTGCTTCAGGTAGCTTATTTCGTGCCTAATTTTTTGCAAGCGCTACCCTCCCTTCCTAGGCGCCACCCTTTACAACCGGGGGAGGCGCCTTCGCGCCCTTGTCTCTAAAATTATGTCATTTTCAGGCAACGCTCCTTCCATCCGCTAGGCGCCTTCGGATCTCGCATAGGTGAGTTCCGCTTTGTTTTTCCTAGGCGCCACCCTTTACAATTTTTGAACTAGGGGTGGCGCCGTCGTTCGCCATGTGTCCTCCTCTTCAATCATGGGAGGCGCCTCCGCCCTTGTCTATAAATTATTGGCCCTTCTCAGGCAACACTCCTTCCATCCGCTGGGCGCCTTCAGATCTCGCATAGGTGAGTTCCGCTTTGTTTTTCCTAGGCGCCATCCTTTACAATTTTTGAACTAGGGATGGCGTCGTCGTTCCACTTTTCTTCAATCGGGGGAGGCACCTCTGCCTCCTCGTTTCTAAAATTATGTATTTTCTCATGTGTCGTTCCTCCATTCGGTGGGCGCCTTCGGATCTCGCGTAGGTGGGTTCCGCTTTGTTTTTCCTAGGCGCCACCCTTTATAATTTTTGAACTGGGGGTGGCGCCGTCGTTCGCCTTTTCTTCAATTGGGGGAGGCGCCTCTGCCTCATCGTTTCTAAAATTATGTATTTTCTCAGGTGTCGTTCCTCCATTCGCTAAGCGCCTCCGGAGCTCGCGTAGGTGAGTTCCGCTTTGTTCTTCCTAGGCGCCACCCTTTACAATTTTTGAACTAGGGGTGGCGTCGTCGTTCGCCTCTTCTTCAATTGGGGGAGTCGCCTCTGCCTTGTTTCTACAATTATGTATTTTTTTCTCAGGTGCCGTTCCTTCCATTTGATGAGCGCTTCCGGAACTTGCGTAGGTAATCTCTGCTTAATCTTTCTTAGGCGACACCCTTGCGAAACTTTGAACCAGGGGCGGCGCCATCGTGTGCCTTTTCTTTAATTGGGGGAGGCGCCTCCCCGTCTATGTTACAAGATTTTTTCTTTTCTGAACTCTCTTGCTTGTTTGAGCGCCACCCTCCGAGTTTTTGTTAGGCGCCGTGTTTAAGCTTCTCATTTTCCCGACAGTTGCTCTATCAGGAGACTCTGCGCGCCACCTCCTCTTTTGTTTGAACGCGCTCACCGAGTGTTTGTTTGTTTCCCTGCTCGAGCGATGTTTCCCCCTCTTTCTTCTTATTCTTTATTTGCGATGTAGGTTTATCCGTTTCAAGGCGTCTAAGGCGCCTTTCCTCCTAAGGTTACGGGGCATAATAGCGGTTTTTTGCCCGCGCGTTACCTGCTTCGGCGTTGCACCCGGTTCTCCTCCAAGACTCGCTTTTCTGCCCACCTCTCTCTCTTTGCCATGGCGTCTAATAACTCGCAGCCATCAGCTTCTATGGGTGGCGCCTCCGCTCCCTCTAAAGGGAAAGCTAAAGCTTTGAGGGTAACATGTCCAGTGTGGAGCTCGAGCCTGAAACGGGCAAATTTCGAGCTTCTGACGACCCCGACTATTGCGTTTTGCGATGGCGTGGCTGAAGTCTCCCCATGCGTACCCCTGAAAAGGAGGTGACGCGCTTAGGCTTCTCCTCGACGGAGGAAGCGAGCTTGAGTATCCCGTGCGTACCCTTGAAAAAGTGGTAACGCATTTAGGCTTCTCCTCGACGGAGGAAGCGGGTTTGGGTGACCCCTTCTGTCAAGGCAGGAATATTTTGCGAGGGATATGGACAAAATATCGCCTCTCATGGGGACTCGTAAAACGACCGGCCGACACTTGGATAAAGATCCACGTGTAAGCACTAGGGCTCTTCCGCTAGTCGCGGGTAAAGGCTTTGCCAAGATGAATATCTTGAGCAAGAATCGATTTCTCCTACGCGTACCCCTGAGAAGGAGGTGACGCGCTTAGGCTTCTCCTCGATGGAGGAAGCGAGCTTGAGTATCCCGTGCGTACCCTTGAAAAAGTGGTAACGCATTTAGGCTTCTCCTCGACGGAGGAAGCGGGTTTGGGTGACCCCTTCTGTCAAGGCAGGAATGTTTTGCGAGGGATATGGACAAAATATCGCCTCTCATGGGGACTCGTAAAACGAGCGCCCGACACTTGGATAAAAATCCACGTGTAAGCACTAGGGCTCTTCCACTAGTCGCGGGTAAAGGCTTTGCCAAGATGAATATCTTGAGCAAGAATCGATTTCTCCTACGCGTACCCCTGAGAAGGAGGTGACGCGCTTAGGCTTCTCCTTGACGGAGGAAGCGAGCTTGAGTATCCCGTGCGTACCCTTGAAAAAGTGGTAACGCATTTAGGCTTCTCCTCGACGGAGGAAGCGGGTTTGGGTGACCCCTTCTGTCAAGGCAGGAATGTTTTGCGAGGGATATGGACAAAATATCGCCTCTCATGGGGACTCGTAAAACGAGCGCCCGACACTTGGATAAAAATCCACGTGTAAGCACTAGGGCTCTTCCGCTAGTCGCGGGTAAAGGCTTTGCCAAGATGAATATCTTGAGCAAGAATCGATTTCTCCTACGCGTACCCCTGAGAAGGAGGTGACGCGCTTAGGCTTCTCCTCGATAGAGGAAGCGAGTCCAGGAAGACTCCATTTGTTTCTCTATGATCACTTTCCGCAGTAGTGAATTTCCATTTCCTTTCTAGGAAGGCGGCGTCATCAGCTTCGAACGCTTCTTCTTCTGGTGAGGCGCCTACACCCTCCCGTGGGGAGTTCATGGGTGGCACCTCAACTTCCTGCATCTTTCCTCGGAGGCGCCTCCTCTCTTCCGTTGCTTCTTGTGAATTGGGAGGCGCCTGGTCGTTGGCCTTGGTGAGTGCCGTCAACGCGGTCATGACTTGGTCTAGTTGGCCTTGCATGCTCGCCCTTTGAAGTGTTTGCTTTTCCCGAAGCTTTGCTAGCTGGCCCTCCAGGCACTCCGTGCCTTCTCTGTCTCCCAATGGATCGTCGTCGTCGGATGCTTCCAAACCTTGGATGGTGAGTGGTTGAGGGTTGATAGCCTCGCGACCAACAACTTGCTTGAGAGGGGTCTTCGTAGGTGCCGGACTCCTTTCTTCTCCCTTCTTTGAGTTGGAAGCGTCTTTCAAAGTCATGCTTGGCCCCACGGTGGGCGCCAATTGTTTGAGCCCAATCGACTGGGGGTCGCTCGGGTCCAAGGGGTTTGGGGTGTCAGCCATGACCTTGAGGGGGTAGGCGCCCCGCCTCGTCCGAAGTAGAAAAAGAGAAGAAGTATATAGAGAGAGAAAGTAGAGAGAAGTTAGAGTACGAGTAGATAGATTGCCATTTATGAGGAGAGAACTCCTATTTATACACATTTGAGGGTTAGGTAGTGGTCTGGGCGCCTACCAAGCCATAAATGCTCTGGTCGGGCGCCTCAGACTCTCTGACACTATTCATAGTCCTTTTGGCAGAGGGTGTCCCCCTGCCCCTTGTCCTTGCTGATGTCAGGTGTCTGGGCTTGTCTCTTGTCCCCCAGCCTTGTCTTTTTCCTCTTGTCTTCTTCCCTTCTCCATGTCATTAGCCATGGTATTAATTCCTCTAGTGTAGTTGTTGTGGCTGGTATTTTCATAAATAAATGAATGGTATTATCATCTAAAGAAAATAATTTTGTGACCGTAAAGAATAAGAAAAAAAATTATAAAAATAAGGTCAAGAATGAACGTCTTAAAATGAAGTATAGAACTTTCACTCAAAATAAATATAATAAGTAAAGGTAAGTCAAAACAAGATCAAGATTCAAGAATTAGAATTAACTTATGAAAGAGACAAACTATCGACAGAAGTGCTTCAACTCGAAATTGTTTTATAGTTGTGAAGTGTGTGACACATAAATAAGGTTGTATAATTGATGGCGTCCTTCTCCTGGATTCCGGGGGCTAAGCTGTAGACAGGTTATTCAAAGCTTTAACAAAGGAAATGTGGTAAACAACAATTGGATTCCGAGAGAGACACTTCATTTTGAGTACAACAAGTAGAGCCTCAACTCTAGTAAATTACCGATGAATAAAAACAAAGATTCAGCACTGTCATCACAAAATCATCCAAGTGGAATTAGAAACAATCTCTTCCATAACATGTCATTTGTGATGGAATACTTGTCATAGTGGAATCTTAGTTGATGAGCACAGCCAGTGGAGGAAGTCATAATTAGGTCAATCCTTGAGGTCTACTAAAGAGCATGAGAGTTAGCAAGCCATTCCATACGAGGGGTGGGAATGGTTATTGGAGCAGATAGTTTAGTATGTATAGGGCTTTCAAATGTGCCAGCAACTAGCTACAAGGAGTATGAGGTGGTCAATCGGCATTGAATCATAAAGAGGGTAAGAATGAGAATGATGTGTGCAGTGAGCAAGATAAGGAGACAAAGGGAAAACTGAAAACAAGAGGAAGATAGGAGATAGGGAAAAAAAAACATATGAAAAGAACATATTTTTCCATAGATGCACAGTTGAGTAACACAAAGTGGTATTAATCCCCTTCCGTATACATACATTTTCAAAGTAAGCATATTATACATGCATGGTAGTCAATCTCGACGCCATTATACAGTGTTCCATTTTTGCTGTCAACAGTTAAAACATGGATGCTTGTCCAGGTTCTCTTGCTCTACCTCCTTGTACCGAGTGGCCATTACCATTTTACTTGGTGACTTTAAAAAACACTCGATGGTGGGCAACTATAGAGGGACTTCAACTTAAGACATCTAAAACCAACAAACCAAAAAAAGCTAAGGATGTGGTATAGTGAGCTAGGCTATTGTAGTTAATTGATTTTTTGGACCCTTATGGAAGAAAACTCGATTACTGCAGATGTTGGTAAATAAGTGAAAATTCCAATAACCCAATAAAGGGAATAAGGGGGCACTCTAACCTTCAAATTACATAACTATTAGGGAAGGAGCTCTACAAGTCAAGTAATGATAGCATAATCTAGCATTTCAGCTTCCTTTGGCCGCCACATTGTCTTTTGGGCAGAAAGCAACCCTTCATTGTCCTTGTTGTAAGTCATTCGGATCTCCCACTGCATCGATCTTAGGATGTTCTCCACCTCTCTCATGATCTCAGTAGTGTCTCGTACGATTAGCTTTCCTTCGGGCCTTAGGATACGGTCGACCTCTACCACTAGAGGAACTATCTTGCACCTGGGAAAAGGCATATATATTATGAAATGATCATTTAGCTAAGAAAAACATTGTAGAGAACCAAAATGGAGCGAAGAATACAGGATGATCGGGTAAGGTAAGAAACAGTAAATGGGACAAATAAATCATACTTCTGCTTGATCATGGAGAATAGATGATCGGCGTGCAGAAGATCATATGATCTTGGGTACGTACTGAATGACTGGCACCAATCATGGTAAATTCCAAATAGTCCACGCTCATAGATAACGGGTAAAACATCAGCGGAGTCAATTGGGACAACATTCATCACCCACACATTCATATCCTTCAAAGCAGCTGCAAACCTACAAAACATGACAAATGATTAGTAACGAATGAATTAGAACTATCACTATTGTGTTCTAATGCTTAAATGGACAACACACTTTGATGTTTGTGACAAAATGACCACTAAACTAAAAATATTAAATGCATGCTAACTATAGTGATGTGTTAAAAGAAAAAGTAGCTCCATCTAGTCTGGTACTAGATCGGTTGAATAAAAAGTGTTAATTAGACCATCATATATTCACATGTTAAAATCGATTGAACTCACAATAGATTAAACAAAGTGAATGTTTTGCTATGATTTTGAATTAGTATAGTTTAGCATTTTGTTTAGCAATGTAATTTTAGCTATCAACGTACTTGAAAGAAGCATTCAAAAGATCTGATAAAAGACACGATAAAGGACACAAGAAACAAAATAGCTATACTTTTCTCATAAATGTGAGAATTTTACTTACCCTCCATAGATAGCTCTCATGTCCATTACATTCCTCACAGTTTCCCAATTTATTCCCATCCCATTGATATATGATTTGGAGACGACTCGCTTCCAATGCTCATAATCAGCAACGAAGTCTTCTGGTTGTGGTTTGCCATAAACTCCCATTTCAGAACCTAACATCCAATATGGAGTGTTGTCCAGTCTAGATGGCCATTGTTCAGGCCATCGCGACCCACGTTCTAGAGAATCGACGGGCACCTTATGCATGCATGTTTGTAGAGGCACATTCCTAAACATAAGAACCACATGAAGTGTTAAGAATACACTATATTGATAATAACTTGTTAGGAGAGGAGAAATAATTAATTACCATGCCGCATTAGGATCATCAGATGCTTCACACATGGGAGGCTCTTGCATTGATCTCTTCTCATAACATGTGTTGTTCGTTGGTTTTCTATAAATAGCTAGGCCAACTCCATTGACTCTATCCTTAAATTTAGTCACAATCTCCCAACACATTGTCTCTAATAATTTGCTCATTGCTATAGAAGGAAAAACATGAGAAATCAGATGACGTGATAGAAATTCATCTAAATTATTGTTTGGCATCACCTACCTTTCCAAATTTCTTTGTCTTCGGGTTTCTTTTGATAGATTGGAGTAGCAGACCACACGAAATATCCGCCTGGCCTCAACAACCGATTCAACTCAAGAAGAAGTTTACCACCTGCCCACCATTTATCAATTGCAACAAGCAAAAGTGATGGTTAGTTGCCACAATTTAATCATTCTTAGTGAACATATGGTGGCCTAAAGGAAAAAATATAAAAAAATATTCTCATAATTCCACCTAGAATGGATTGTTTACGTGAATAAATCAACAAATTGAAGATAACTAAAAAGGATCATGCACCTTCAATATGCCACGGCACCCTACAACGCGCACAATGCACAACATCAAATACTTTACTTGGGAAGGGAAGTCTTAGCGTGCCCATGACAGCAGATATAGCAGGGATTCCTCTTTCGAGAGCGAATTGCACTTGAGCTTCATGCTCATCTTTAGGGGCCAATGACATTGCCAATACATCTCTGTCGAAGAGAAACCCTCCAAAACTAGCAACTCCACATCCAACATCCAAGATTACACGACTACGTTTTCCCCAAGCAATGTCAGGTACATTCTGAAAAAGAAAGAAAGTCACTTCAATTCAACCCGTCAGCTACAATCCACATACCAAATAAAGGGGTCCATTAGACTGGTTGATTTGAGCTTCAAATCTATTTTTCGATTAATTTAGTCAAAATGTGTGCAATATCAACAACTAAATGTAACAAGAGGATGAAGAAGCCATGTATGACCATAAAAAAAAAATAAGTTTAGCAGTTAATGTAAAATGGATAGTAGTAAGTTAAAATGAGTACAAAATACAACTAAGTCTTAACCTCGTTTATAAAATTGATGTAATGGAGAGCGCCATGCTTGAACTGAGTTCCACCACCAGGAAAAATAATGTATTGACCATCAACTTTCACCCAGTTTTGATGCCCCTTATACTCAACAAGTTTTGTGTGGGGTACGTTAGAGTACCAAATCTATATAATGAAGTGATTTTTTGTCAGTTACATCAGGAAGAGCCAATTCGGTTGTCATAATCACAAAAGAACGAAGTAACTTACCTTTTCCCTGCTTTTAGGCCACTCGATTGGGCGTTTATAACCTTTTGGAAGTGGAACTAGGCAAGTTGGAGGTTCTTCAGGGCAATGTCGCTCTCTATGTTCATAATGCTTATTCGATCTAAGATTCTTAATAGCTCTCCAGTTATCCAAACAAGGAATGAAGTCAGGACCAGCAGTGACATTGCACGATTTCCAATTGAATACAACTGGCTCTTTAGCCGATTCTTGAGTATCCTTCTCATTCTTTGATTCCACTGCCTGAGTTGACCATGATCCATTCTCTGTTGAGGTTTCATTTGTAAGCTCAGCTTGAGCTCCTGAAGGAAAATTTTCACTTGAACTTTGATTCTTGACTTCCATATTGTCTTTTTCAACCCCTTTCTTCGCAACTTGGCCTTCACTCACTTCCTCAACTCTTGAATCACCAGGTTTATCATCTAATGTCTTATTGATCTCTGCAAAATCAGGTTTCTTCTCATTTTGATCTGAAATAGGCTTGCCATCTTCTGAGATATTATTCTTTGATCCTCCTTGCCCCATCGCATTAGCTTGACCAACATTGGGATTTTTTTGTTTGCCAAATTGGTTTACCTTTTCATCAACATGCTTTGAATCTACATCTTCTTTTCGATATTGTGCCTCAATACTTGATGCATAATCTTCAACAGGTTTTTCCTTTGCTTTCTCTTGAGGATTATTTTCGAGCTTTGGTTTTGGCATATATGTTGGCTTCTCATCATGTTTTTGTGGATATGTCTCTTTTGGTTTATTCTCCTTATGATCTTTCGATACAATAGAATTGTTTGCTTCTTGTGGATTTATAGTGTCTTCTATTGATTTATTTGCATCCCCAGCCAAACCACCTTGGATAATGTCTACTTGCTTAGGAGTACTACTTTTGGAGCTGTCTATCACTTGATCTTTCACATCGTTCTTGTCGGTTTCTTGAACAGGCATGTCTACATTTTGCCCAGGAATATTGGATGATGATGTCATCATCCACACACCGACCAAACATAGGGCTACAAACACCACGATAGTCACAGTCGAGTAGTAGTTGTTTGATGTTGGTGGTTGTCTTCTGTTATTGTCTATCCTAACATACTTCCCTTGCATTTTTATATGGAAGATTCAACCAACAACTGCCTTTAGAACTGCATAATCAAGGTTTTGACCCACATTACAATGCTAGTTTAATAACTTCCATGGTTAATCTAGCAAGAAATAAATGTAGACTTTTACCTATGCCAGAAAGAAAGGAAGCCAAAAGGCTAATCCCAAAATTCAAGATCAATCGTAGATTGAATTTTAGAAACCAGAAAATGATCCACATGAAAAATTCTTTGAACAATCCAAAGATTATTTCAAACTACACAAAATGAGCATAGCCTGATCAACAAATACCAAAGGGCTATAGAAATGTCCACAACCACATAAAGTTTCTCAACAAATACCAACTATTCAACTAAGAGATTTCATAGGCAAACACCAAAACCAACAAAAAATCATATGACTATCTTTATACATTTGGATAAATCCATCAAACCTAGAACACATAATCACAATCATCATTATCTTCATATTTGCTAAAATCCCTAGAATCACAATAAAAAAGAATGGATAAGAAAATCTTCTTACCTAGCTAAAAGAACGCATTCTCGTGTCGAATTCTTCGTCCCTACTAGTTCTCCTCTAGTCCGTCAGAAAGAGGGGAAGAAATTACGGGAAAATAAAAGAACGAAGAAATCAAAAGGGTCAAATGGGTTTCATGTATAGCAACACATCTGTACAGACTGATTGTAGAAAATGAGAGAGATTTCAATCCAATTTAAGATGAACTTAAGAGAGCCTTCACTCCTCAATTTTCTTCAATTTTATTCTTGTTGCAGACAAAAAAAAATCCAAAAATAAGAGAAAAATGAATTATTAGCAGTTACTTGTTGTAAAAAACAAACTTATGAGGGGGGATTTTATGTTTGATATTGTAAAAAAAAACTCTAGTTTGTCTTTTATTGGGCAAAGAAGATGGAAAAGAAAGACTATCACTGGACTGTCGTGAATTCAGCTTGGCTCACTAGCATCCATCATAAAACATGAATTCTTCTTATTCTTTTTTCTACAATATGTAATTTTATTATTCATAATTTTATTTGTGGAAAAATTAAAAATAATATGGAAAAGAGAAAAAAGGTAGAAACTTTTTTAAAAGATATATAGATTAAGTGTGCCTACAAATGATTCTTAAAGGTAAATCATTTAATGTGATGAAGATTTAGGACGATGTATGCTAGTTATGTGCAGCCATGCATGGTTCTTCTATTTGACGTTTCACAATTGGAACTTGAACTTGCTTTTAGATAAATTACAATCCTACGATGGGGATATGTTACTATGTTATATGATCTCAAGTTTGATCTGCTATTTACCTTATTAATCTATTGCTAATTTACTTTTCTTTTCTTTCTTCACCACACATCTGTATGCATGCATTAAAAAAGTGTCAATATAAATAAATTGGAATATTATAAAAATTTAAAATAACATTAAAACCATCTTCCAATCAAAGTATGTCTATTCAATGACCAAACAAGAAAAGAAATAGACAAAGCTTGATGGCTATAGTATGTAGCAAAAATCGATTACGACCTAAACAAATGTATAATGTCATACTCTGTAGGACCTCTAGCAATTTCTCTGTTTTAAATCCACTACTAGTGGTTCGAAGATTCTTCAGATGAGGTTGATTTTTGCTGATTGTTGTGTTTACTAAGTAGGAAGGTAAAATAGAAGTTGGAAACGGGTTGAAAGGCAAAGTAAGAGGTATAAAGTCTAGGATTGTTTCACCTGGTGAACCGACATTACATAAGGTTTACCCCTTCCTATTTGAACTAGGAATCGTCTTACCTGGTTTGCAAGGCAAGAGATCCTAAAGTATCGGCTGTCAACAATGATCTTGAGCCATCGTGGTCTTCCATTGTCATATCGAGCCAAAATTTGGTGCCCATGTCTCCTTCATATTCGTGAACCTCTCCACCAAATTCCAGCTAGAATGGGTCATAGCGGGTCTACCCAAAACTTAGGTATTTGTGATTCTGTCTTCCTCCAAGAATTAAGGTTTTGCTTCAGGTCCATTCCAATATTCTTCCTAGGCTTGCTTTTTCCTGAAAATCACCAAAACTATCCGAAAGGCATCAAATAATACAAAAGAATATCTTAGGTCTATTAATCACACGTTGGATATCAAGACTTTTCTATCATAAAAACAACTAAGAGTGTGCCACATAATAATATTATATCCTAAATGTGGGTATAAAATATTACTTATGGGGTTTATTCGTGCAAGTGATAAAAATCATAGAATATCCTAGGTCGTATTTCACAAGGTCTTCTAATGCATAAATACTCACACCACACCATCTATGCTCACACGAAATGGACAAGCTTCTTTACAGGTTTTCATTTGAGTAACAAGCAAAGAAAAGTAAAGCAAGGAAAAATAAAGTTATTTAGGGGGTTTTCAAATTATAGATGCTTAAAAGTAAATATATGTTATTGAACAATAAGGTAAATCTGAGCATTATAACACATACTATGGCTCAATCATATCATGCATCAATGCCTCATCTATAGCATCACTCAATCCCTTCCATTAAGGCCATCATACTCGAGCTTTCGCCACATGCAATAGGAACTTGACTGGCTAATGCGTGATTTTGCTTCATGCCATCATATAATCAATGAAGACAGGGACACAAGGATAACACATGATTAAATGTGGGCCTCATAACTCATAATCGATGGTCTATAGCATCGATGATTTAACAATCAAGTATTAATACTACTCGAGGTATAGATAGTTGATCATTCCCTCTACACTCATGTAGTGTCAATGAGGTATCACTAGAGAGTAATTTATGACAACCTAGATAGTTGTATACTATAGAGTCACAAGCATTCATGATAATAAGTATTGAACTAAATGAGCATTGACATCATACACATAGGCATCAAACCATAAAGCATAAATGCATACACATTGGGCATCGAAAATCACAAGCATAATATGAAATTATGGCATCCGCATCAATACATACAGAGATAAAAGAGCAGAGTGTTTACATAAGTTTTTAGTGAATTTGTGCAGTCTATCAAACTAATGAGTCTAGCCCTTTATTTATAGTGGTAACACTCAGCCAAAACCCTCTTAAACCTACTAGGAAAATGTTTCTTTGACTTAGGGCTGGAACAAGACCCAACGGTCATCTATTTGGGATTGGGTCTTCTTGTAGTAGGCGGCGGTTGGGACCGCCGCTGATTTTCTTCATGGACTGGACTTCGTGGCCCATGAAAAACCTTTCCCGAATATTTGATCGCACTTTGTCCAGGTTTTCATGGGCGCTGGTTGGACTCGTTGCTAGGATGCCACTAATTCTTACTTCTGTTGGGGCCAAGCATTCCTCCACTGGGCTTCTCTTGGGCTCTACTCGTGGTTAATAGTAGGCTCTGTCATTGGACATCGTCTTTATCAAGAAAGCTCAATATTCTTCTCTTTATAGCTCTTCTAGTCCTCCAGAGTTGTCCAATGCTTGATCCAAATCCTCCTAGGTTGTGTTGTACCTTGAAAATCATAAAAGAAACATACCAAGAAGGCATCAAATGGTTCACAAAATATATCCTAGGTCTATTAAAGGATCATTGATCAAATATTTGTGATTTAGATATGGAATACAAGAGAAAGTATTGAAGATGCATTGATAGACGAGGAAAATGTATCAAATATGGGAGTAATAGACACTATAAATAAAGTGTCATAAACAAATACCCGACACTTGAAATTTGCTTGTCCTCAAGCAAACACTACTCATAACCATACAACTCAATGAACACGTTTAAGGGATGATTAAAAGTCATTAGGTATAAAACATCACTAGTAAATTCAAGCATGTTTAAAGCACATATCATACTATTTAGAATTGAAAAGTTTCAAATTTGAACGACTAATCTTGTAGAAAGTAGTAAGCATATCAATGCAAAACATATCAACCATTCTCACCCCACACAAATGAACATTGTCCTCAATGGACTAAAAGATAGTGAGTTATGGCAAGGTTAGAATGAGTTACCTGGGTTGTTCTAAATTTGACCTCGTAGTTCATAGTAGCTAGTTATCCATCATTGCATAGAAAGACTCAAAATTGTTCAAAAAAAAATAGCTTTCTCAAAGTCTTGATCTCCTAACTGCCGGGTCCTTCTTGTGGTGGTCCACTACCGAGAAAGAGAGAACAAAATTATCTACCAAAGTCTTCCATCCACGAATGGCTCCACTGCTGCTCTGCCTCTACTCTCTGACACCAAGCTCGAGTATCCTCAAGCTCCATGTGTCTCTCCTGCTCTAAGGAATCCCAGTGCTGCTCATTCATGGTTTAGTATGAACTCAAGCTGTCCTCCTGTCTCCCCATAGTTGCTCTCAACTTTGCTAGCTAGACTCCATAGTCTCCATGTTGTGGTGGTGGTGGTGGTGGACGGCCAGCTCCATATCCTTCCTCGTGTATCCTCTCTAGATGCATTGTTGGTCTCGTCGCCTGCGTCCATGACTAGTAGCGTGGGCAACCATTCCCGGCGAGGTCAACTCCCTTGCTTGTCACCCTCTCTACTCCAAAGGTGAAATTTGGTTATCTGTGAATTGGTCCTTCCCTCTCCAAAGCATCCCAGAAAACAAATTCGTACTCCTTTGTATGATTGTCGATGTGCTGGGCTATAGTCAGAATATAGCCCCCTCTTGAAGTCCTCATGTAGAATTAATGGTCGTGTACCTCAGAAGATTGTTAACCACCAACCATGTTGGATGAAGCCACTAGTTGTTCAGCACGACATGATACGTGATCATGTCACTGGTGGTTACCTTTCAATCATCTCCTTTATGCTTCACATGAAAGTAGTGCGAGAACCTCAGGAATGGCAGTTGAATGTGAGTTTGTGGTGAAGAGCTAACAGCAAACTCAAACTCCTAGTTCCTTGTAATCTTCTTCCACAACTCTCAAAAGATTGTTGCTTGTGTTGTGGGTTCCCCATAAGCTTCAAGGATAGCAGCAGACATGATAACCCAATTTAACTATAACTTTGTCAGCTGGGACTTGATTGTATCTTGCAACCCAAGTTAAGTGTAACTTTGTCAGCTATGACTTGATGTTATTTGTAGGTTGCTTAAACAACTGAATTAATGTAAAGAGAGAAAAGGTTAGCTCTGATTCAAAATCCATTGCAGCAATAAATGCAGCATAATGAATAGCATGCAATTAGGTTTAAGAGCATCCAATACAATGACCTAATGATGAACGCTAACCCATAGCATGCAATTAAGGTTAAGAGCATCCAATACAATGACCTAATGATGAAC